TATTAAAATATCATGGAATTAGACACTTCACCAGTATATTTTTTTAGCATTTGTTGAACAATTCTGCCTTCACTTAATGATTGTTAAAATTTTTCTCAGATTGTAACATCTCTAAAATGTTGAGATATTAGACCCAGAAACACAGGTATGTAAAGTGCCTGAAACACAGTTAGTGCCCAGTGAGTAGAGTTACAATGATGTCAAAACATTATTAATATGGGTGTACCTTTGATTTTCCCCCTTTTCCTACTCATGAAAGAAAATCTGCATTGACAAGCCCAACTTCCCACCTCCACTCACCTCTTACATGCCAAATATAATTTTTTGCTTAATTTAAGCCTAAACCGGTCGATTAAATAATGTGAAGAGAAAAAGCAGAGAAGGCTGGGGGCCTTTGGGGACAGGGTGTTGGACCTGAAGATGAGAGAAGTAGAAGAGGAAAGGGGATTTTAATAAGAGTGGATGTCAAGTATGTATTTGAACCCCCTTGACTGTCCTTTGAGAGGCACTTATAAAAGATGGAATTCTTTTTAATTATGTTTCGAGAGTCAAACTACACTTCTTAATTGTAGCAGTGTTATGGGACTGAACCCTGAGAATGTCTGGATTTGCAAAACTTACATTATTGACATGAAAGTTGTGTAAAAAAAGATTAACGTTGCTCAAACAGAGGTTTGGCCTTGCCCTAGACTCCTGGGAGATCACTTCTAAGGCCTTGGAATGTCCTACTTGCTAAGTGTGTCTTTCTTTACCTGGGGGCTTTGGACCATGGCAGATATTTTATGCTAACAATATGATTTATGGTGAGGACTTTGGACCACACAGTATCAGCTCTACCTCTGGAGAGGCTGGAGACTAAGGTCAGCCATGCGAGTGGTCAGCCATGTACACAAGACAAAATTCCAGTGAAAACTCTGGACACCAAGGCTTAGATGAGCTTCCCTGGTTGCCCCTACTCAGAGGATATTGTCACACATCATTTTTGGCAGAAACAGATGCTGTCCACACAACCCCACTGAGAGAGAACAACTGAAGCTCAACACTTAGTGTCTCCTGAACACTGCCCTGTCCTCCTCTTCCCTTGGTTTATGTTAATCTGTATCCTTTACCTGTAATAACTGTGAATATGACAGCTTTCCTGAGTTTTCTTGGGGGACCTCTCAAACTGATAGTTGTGTCAGAACTGAAGGTGGTCTTAGAGATCCTGGAACTCGGAAGTTGATGTCAGAAATGAGGGTGGTCTCAGGGACCAACAAACTTTGCAGAAGTGCATTTGTGAATACATTTCTACACACAAACATAAGATAAATATAGTTATGGAAAAGCCTAAAAGCAAAAAGGGGAGCCACATTTAGAGGAGAACAAGTCTAGAATTGTAAACCAGCAAGCTATATGTCCAGAGAAAAATACTAGAATAAATAATCAAAATAGCAAATACGGAAAATAGCATAACTTTTAAAGGAGGACTTAAATCCTGATTTAATGTATTCTTTACTGTAGTGATAAGTATGGTAAATTGAAGGTATGTATATAATGGGTAGAAAGCATATCAGCTTTAGTAAAATTTTTATTTAGTTCCCAGGTTTAATACTTTAAAGCATCTCATGTTAACAGGCTCCAAGAAGACTATAAATTTAACTAATTCAATAGTGACATATGCAGAGTACAAGAAGTAACTCACAAGGGAAGAAATCTATACAAATGCACGCTAGGACAGAACTTACTTTGCAAACGTAAGACATAAAATTGATACAGACAAATAAAAACCACAAGTTAAGTAGGAGTTAGCAGTGTGTCACTGTAATTCTAAAAGTTAATAAAATACTGCATTATCCAAATAAGAGAATGACATATAAGGCTTAGTCTGTCACTGTATTCTATTCTAGTGAGATAATTCTTAGATTATCATATTCATTTTAAAATCCCATATACAGTGAAAGAAACTTAAGCATATTGGGTTCCAATCTTAGCTTTGCCACTAACAAACTGGCTATCTCATGGAAGCGATCAGAGGTTGGCCTTGCCCTAGACCCCTGGGAGATCAATTCTAAACCCTTAGCTAGGTGTGGCTGTTTACCTGGGAGAGTCAGGTCCCCAAGTCTCTTCATCACCAGAGCATTAAAATTAAAAACATCAGGCCAGAATCACACTAAAATTACCACCCAGATCTTAAATTCTTTGTTCAACAGGAAAAAAACATTATTAAAAATCATTGGGGGGATCAAATCAGAGTATCTTTGTATGCAAAGAGATGTTTCACAGGAGGCTATGGGCTATGGGCTACCACCTGCTGATGAGCTATCACAGGGGCCAGGTCAGAGGCCCTGACTCACAGGAACCTATAGCTGAGACTACTATCAGTTCCCACGGCCTTTCTTTAGTTATAAAACCCTCACGTTAGCAGGCATGTGGCTAGAAACTACATTTCACAACCTCCCTTGGAGTTAGGTGTGAAATGGGATATAAGTGGCCAACTAGATATGAGTGAGAAGAAGAGCGTAGCTTCTTCATCCCATCCATTCTTTTTCTCTTCTCTTTAAGGCAGTTAGAGCTGGTGAGCCAGGGTTATTTTGTTTTGTTTTGTTTTGTTTCTTTTTTGAGACACAGTCTCACTCTGGCACCCAGGCTGCAGTGCACTGGTGGGGTCTTGTCCTACTGCAACCTCAGACTCCTGAGTTCAAGCAATGTCCCACCTCAGCCTGCCAAGTAGCTGGGACTACAGGCACGCACCACCACACCTGGCTAATTTTTGTATTTTTTGTAGAGATGACGTTTTGCTCTGTTGTCCAGGCTAGTCTTCAACTCCTGGCCTCAAGAAGTCCACCCGCCTTAGCCTCCTGAAGTGCTGGGATTACAGGCATGAGCCACCACACCCAGCCTTCAGATTTCATCATGAGAAACTAGTGGACAGCAGTGCAACATGTGCTTGGGACACTTTCCTGGGTTTTCAAGTGAGAAATATATTTTTAAACATTCCTATCTTGTTTGAGCCATTGTATTTTAGAGGTTTTTGTTATAGTCACTTATCTCTGCCCTAACTGATATAGAGACTGGTCCTAGGAATCAGGTGCTATCAAACAGAAACCAAAACACATCCTAATAGTTAATTGTTTTTGTAATAGGAACGAAGTAAATATTGAAAGCTTAAAGTTTGTTGACTCTTCTTATGCCATGGCAAAATATTTGACAAAGTTCTCAGTTGCCTTAGCTCTCTATGAAGTCCATGCTAGAAAAAGTGATTGGGAAAACCTAGAAAATGAGTATATTTTGGCGTTTCTTACTGAATGCTACAGCTCATATGCTTGTGTCCTTCCAAAATTCATAGGTCGAAAACCTATTCTCCGATGTGATGGTATTCAGAGGTGGGGTCATTGGATCATGAAGGTGGGGCCCTCTTGAACAAAATGGTGCCCTCATAAAAGAGGCTCCCGAGGGCTTGCTTTGTTTTTCTACCATGTGAGGGCACAGCAAGAAGATGCCATCTTTGAACCAGAAAGTAGGAGCACACCAGAAGCCAGATCTGCTGGCACCTGGATCTTAGACTTTGCTTTCAAAACTCTAAGAAATAACATTTTTTTGTTGATAAGCTACCCAGTTTATTGTATTTTGCTATCACAGCTAAAATGGACAAAGATGCTGCATTTACCATGAGAGAGATGAAGTAAAGCAGAATTTAGTCAGTTTGCAGGCAGAGATGCTTACATGTTACAGTTCAGCCCTATCTGAGACCTGTAATCAAAATTGATAATTATACAGCATTTCATTCAAATGTTATAGAATACACATTCTTTTCATCAGCACATGGAGCATTCTACAGAATAGACTATATCTACATCTAAAACCATATTATTTCAATAGATTTTGGAAAACATTCCATAAAATTCAACATCCCTTTATGAAACGCTATAGAAGGGAAGATATCTTAAGATATCTCCTGTCAGCCCACAGCTAACATCATTCTGAATGGGAAAAAAATTAAAAGCCTTTTCTCTAAGATCTAGATCAAGGCAAAGACATCCATGTTTACCACTTTCATTCATCATAGTACTAGAAGTCCTGGCCAGAGCAATTGGGCAAGAAAAAGAAAAAAAAGGACATCCAAATTGAACAGGAAGATGTCAAATTAGCCTTGTTCACAGATTACAAGATCTTATATTTAAAAAATCCTGATGACTTAACCAAAAAGTGGGTAGAACTGATAAATGAATTCAGTAAAGTTGCAAGATGCAAAATCAACATACAAAAAAATCACTGACATTCATATACACCAACAGCAAACATACGAAAAAGAAATCAAGAAAATAATTCCAGTTACAATAATGACAAAGAATATAAAATATGTATGAATTAACCAAAGAAGTGAAAGATCTGTTACAAGGAAAACTATAAAACATTGGTAAAAGAAATAGAAGAGGACACAAGTCTCTAGCTATGAGTTACCCAAGTACACCTTTCTTCCTACACACAGAACACTCTTCAAGGAGACATCTCTGAATCCCATTCAATTACCCATTCAGCTAACAAGCTAGAAATGCTGGTTGACCCTTAGTGCTCTCTGTTAGGTGATGATATGACTTCTTCCAATCCAGAGATCTATAGACTGAAAAATGACCTCAGGTGTTCCACCCACCTTGGCTTCCCACCACTCCCAGCTGGAAGGGATACTTACTAAGCAAGACAAAGGTCCAGTAAATAAGGGTTGAAATGGTGCCCCAATTTGTGTTATAATAAATTCAACATGCAATTTCAAAGTACATACAAAATATTCAAAAACTCTTATGCATCTAATGAAAGATATCATCTAAGAACCGGGTAAGAAGCAGGAATAGATTCTTAGAGTCGTGTGATGTTTAAGTTGGTGGCAACATTCAAAAGTCAGTATTTAAAACTCCATAGTTTAAACAGTAGGGAATGGGTCCAAGAGGGAATGTGTGGCTTACTCAAGTTATACACATATTTATAGGTGGCTCTGGGAACTGTTGAGCACTGTGGAATAGCTGTAAGTTTAACAGCAATTTATTTACATTTTATCAAAATAATCAGCAAATTCAGTAGTACAAAAAAAATCAACATCCTTGTTAGTTTGCCATGTTGTAGACCCAACAGTCACTTGTTTTGGTAGAGCTCTTTATCAGGCTGAATGTTCCAAATGCTCACAATTTTCTATCACAGTAAACAAGTCAGGGAATACACAATAGTGAGAGCTGGACCATCTCATCACTCATATATAATAAATTGAGTGACTGCAATCAAACCATTAAGATATATATATAACTTCTTGGAATAAAATCTTATTTCTTAGCCTTATTAAAAGAGAGAATATAATTTTATACTATACTATTTCTGAGATTATTATACATCTTTGACTTTTTTTTAAGAAGGATATTGTCATGATGAAGGTATTCATTCTCTTTCAGAGACATCTTTTTATTGATGATAGAATTCAGGACCTGGTATCCCTAGATTTAGGCAATTGTGCCCAGGAAAAGTGTGCCAATCATAACATAATAGCCTGCAAAAAATGAGATCTTGTCAGTTGTTTCAGGAGTCTGTCACTCCTAGAGTGAGAATAAACCCAGACTTAATGAAGTGATCTTGATGAATCAGACATAATGAAGGATCTTGATGAATCAGAAGCCCTTCTTTCTCCACTTCACGTCCATTCCATCTTTACAACAGCTTTTGGTTTGATTTACTACATTATTGTAGGAGACAAGAATCATTAAACAGCTATAGAGAAATGAGATGTGTGTTCCTTTTAGGTTTTTATGCTTTTAAAATGATATTCAGATGATTTTAATTACTACAAAAGCATTGAGATGTTAATATACTTTATATGAAAGGGAGGGATACTATTTCATCCATCCTTTTCTGCAGCCAATTTCAACTCTGAGAAAATTATTTCTTTTGATCACTCTGATAGCATGTAATAAAAGAACAATAAAACATGTGGCTCAATTACCACTGCTTCTCATCAAGCATGAATTAATGAATATAAAATCATTATTAATTATTTTTCCTGGCTCCCTCTTCACAGGACAACAATTATACATTGCTGTATTTTGATAAGCATTTTGTGTTTAACACTTTGTGAACCAGGCTGTAAGAGGAACAGATGCATGAAATTACTACACAGGAGAATAATCCTTTGATTGTATTAACATTTGGAAAACACATGATAATCTTTTAATCTCCCTAGTTTCTAGCTGTTTTCCACAACTGCCTTAAAACTTCTCTAGAATTCCGCCTCCACTTTAATGTTCCACACATCTTTTTTCTAGAAACAATTTCTATCTGCACATAAAATAGTTTAGAAGTTCAGTTTCTCACTGTTAATAATACTAGTTCCTCACATAATTATTACATGTTCAATTTCTTCAGCAAAGTTCCTTAAAAATAAAATCTATAGCTTGAGCAGTTAAAAATGTTACACAGTGCAACAGAATATAATAGATTATGATCACTATAATTGACAAAATCAATGTTAGTGAATTATATTTACAAACACTTCACATAAAGATTCTATGTAACTGATAGTTCATTTTATTTTTATAAGCCTTTTGTAAATATAGTGCTATGTAATATGAGTATATATAACATGCTAAAGAACATATCTTTTTAATCCATAACCATTACTTCTAATAGATTATGTGTATACCCAGATTTTTGAGATGCATACAAAGAAAATTTAACAAATGATAACATGTAAGGTATACATGTCATATGATTTTATCTATTACCCATAAATCTGTTTCTGTTTTTAAAATGATGTTCAAACACTTTGTCTGATATTAAACAATGACACTAAAGTTAAATTGTTGTTATGTCTTATCTAGTTCAATAGGCTTAACAAACACATATGTATATATGTTTCCAAAGAGCACAAACTAAAACCTGCTTTATTTGGGAATTTGGGAAGCAAAAGGGACCTTAGACATCATTTTATCCAATCTCCTTTATGTTACAAATAATAGCACAGAGATCTGGAAAGTTTAGTGATTTTTAAGGTCCAAAACCTTTTTATGTTAACATTTTTCTGTCAAACTGTATGAAAAAAATGCTGGTAGTATTTGTTTTACAGATGAAGGAAGCATATCTTGCTTCCTTGTCAGTTCTTCAGGATGTCAACAATGTCTATGAACCTGAATTCTTAGAGAAATAAAGGTGAGGAAATGAGAAACTTGGCTTTAATGGAAACCACCACTCACAGCCAACATACGGAGTGTGAATGGACCTGACTGGAGTGATAATGCTCTCTGCTTATCAGAAGCATCATTCCTTTGACATTGGTAACTGGAGCCATTTGAAATTTTTATTGCTAATGCTAGCCAGAGATCAGATGCCTCTTTTTATGTGTGTGATCTTATTGAAAATAATTAGATTACTTATACAATAGCAGAATTGTTAATTTTATATGAGGTGATCTTCAATGTGAAAGCTTTTCTAGATTATATACTATTAAGATAAAACTTGCAACTTTTAATTCCTTAATGAGAACTTTTCATCTTGATTTCCATGTGCCAGAGTTATGAAATCCACTTTGCTGAAAAAGAATTAAAAAAAAAAGGGTAGATGAGCAAATTCAGTACAAAAACAAGCTCATCATTAAGATTCACAATTATTAACCCACAGGGTAGTGGTGAATTAAAGATTCCACTTTTTCGTCCACTTCTGAAATAATCACTGTGGCTTTTGGTCATACTGTGTTTTATGAGATGTCCGAGAGTCATCTCTTGACAACTTGTATGTACTATAAAACATGCAATGCCTAGGGAGTACATATAGGGAGGAAGACACAAAACTTCTGAGTCTTTTGTTAATCACACTCCCTAAGCCACATCATGAACTCCTGGGAGAATAAAAATTTTAGAGCTACCACCATGCACATCAAGACCCATGACATCACATTAGATCATCATAAGATTGCTAAATCAGAAAGAAAATTGAATATGAGAACTCTCTGGGGGAAGCAGAAAATAGAAGGCAAATCTGAGTATAATTAGGTTTGCTCTTGTAATTGATTCTGCAGCTTGATGGAACATGGGTTTCTGATATTTTTTTCAGAGCATTTTCTAGATGTAGTCTGCCAGTTGCTCATTAATATCACACATTTGTCATTAAATTCCATACTTTGGATCTCCCATAGGAATCCCAAGTGTTCCTCTTTCATTCATTATATCAACAAGACAGCAGGAAAAATGTGTCTTTCACATAGTACTGTTGACCTTTTCAATATCATTTTGGTTATTTTATTTACTAACTACCGAATCTAAAAGTAAAATGTAAATAGTAGTTTTTAAAAACAAGTCAAGTTTCACAGGACTTAATTTTGCTAATTTGCCTACAATGAGCAACATCTCTTAAATTAGCTTTTAAACCTTTCATACGTAGTTTATAGAAAATGTTAGTTAAAAACACAGGTCCTCAATATCCTTTTCTCACATTATATATGCTAATTAAGAGTGCAATTTATAGTAACATTCATCTTAAATGGATAAAAAAACTTAAAGGCTATATATTTATGGAATTACACAGAATTTAAAGGTAATATTCAAAAGCACTTAATGCAATAACCAAATTAGATTAAAAATTATACAGTATTGAAGTGTAAGCATAAAGGTCATTTATAAACATGGACTTCAATTTAAACAATTATGTGAGTAGACAATATCTTTTTACATTTGGGGAAAAAAGGAAAATTTTCTAAAATAAATTACCTTTTCGTTTAGTTGTATCTAAATCTAATCTGATATCAGAAGACAATATAAAAGTTGACTGATTTCATACCATTAAACAAAATACTACCATAGTATAAATATCTGCAGCTGAATTCTTAAATATAATTAATAAAATATATTACTTTATCAAAATACATCATTTTAAATGATACCAAATGCTTGTTAACATTAACAAAAGTGATCAATGTTTACAGAGTGTAATGCTTACCCATAATTTTAGAGTAGCAAGGTTCACAGTGTATTGTCTGTCTATAAATCCAAATACTGTCACCCGCTTGTAGATTTTCCAAAGGCCGCTTGCATATTTCACACTAAAGAAAAAAAAATAAGTTAAGTTTTTATTGTAAATGAAATATTGATTTGTAGAGAAACAGACATAGAAAAGTCCTTTCGGTTCATTCAGGACTGTCTTTCACAGCAATGCTCAGATGGAGACTCAAGAGAAAACACGGTGTGATGAAGAGTGTACCTGTATATAATCCAAGTGCTGAACTTTTCAAATAAATTCTCACATCATCTCTCTGCCATTGAGGTAGTTTTAAGGGCTGTCTACCACTGGATTTTTCTACGTCACTCACAGTGGAGCAGATATAAATGCCCCAAAATTGTTTATGCCAAGGACAAGATGATGAAATATCTCAAGCGAAAATGCAAAGCTGCATTTATTGTTTGCTAACTTAAGGGAGAGCTAATCATGCTGTCCAGGCACACAATCTCATGAGCAAAATAAACTGCTGATCTGACTGGGTTTGAGAAAAAGTTTATTTTAAGTAGTACTGGTTAGAGGTAGGAAAGGCTGACCTCTGCTTTATATCTGTCCACTGCTGATTGGCTGACTTCCAAGCATGAGGCTGTCACTGATTGGTTGGCTTTCAGAAGCAAATTCATTGAAGCAAACAGTTGTTGATTAATTGAACATGTCTAAACCAGTCAATGTGGCTCGCTATTGCTATGGCTAGAGAACAATCAGTATTTTTCTAAGAGTGTGAAGATGTTTGTTTTTATTCTCGGTAATATTTTATTGAAATTACATTAAAAATAGAAATAAATGATCTAAAATATAACAAACGAAAATATTTACCAAAAGTGATGATGAGGAGAATATTCTTGTTTTACATTTTTCTGTGTAGTAATTTTAAATAAAAAGCTACAGACTAAATTTTGTTTAATTGGATATATTTCATAACTAAAAGCAACATCATGTTCTCATAACTAATTATACAACCTGCAGATTGTTTTTTATATAGGATCCCATATATTATGCTCTAAAATTGAAATGTTTTGCTCAAAATGAGTTACTATATTTCTGACTGCTATGTGTCACCGTTTGAAGGTAATTGTAATAGAAGCAATCAATTGACAAAGTATTTCATTCTTTGAGTAGATTTGATAAATTGTATCAACTGTAGAATATTGCACTAGAAAGAACCCATATATTTGGGCCATTGTTTCTCCAACTGACTGCACATTAGATTAATCAAGGAGCTTTTTAAAAATACCAATGCCCGATAATCACCTCTAAGATTCATAATTTAACTGGGGCTGCTCTCGATCATTCTATCTTTTCCTCATCTCCCCAGATGATTCTGATGTGCAGTTAAGGTTGAGATCCACTAGTCTAGTCAATACTTCATTTTACAGTTAGGGAAACTGAGGCAAGGTAATTTAGGTGGTTGTCCAAAGTCACATGAACAGTTACAAGCAAAGGCAAAACCAGAACTCAGGTCTTCAGATTCCTGTTTAGTGCTTACGCAGTTACACCAAAAACAATGATGTTGATCTACCCAACGTTATGGCGAGAATGCAAAGAAACATCCTAAGAAAGCACAAACTATGAAGCTTTCGTCTACTAATAAAAGCTTTATTATTATTTATTGAGCCCCAATGAATTACAACTAATTATGCTCTCAAAGTAGACTGACACTCACATATTGTTAAATCCATTGGTCCTAATTTTGTGATGTAAGAAACTGCTAGCTTTCCTCTCAAAAATCTATTTTCTTGTTTTGATTTCATCACATATTTTCTGTAATTCATAATTTAGTAAAGTGTTGCAAAACTTTTATAAAAAGACCAAGTGGAAATTTTTTTCCACAGATTTAAATCTCTAGGGTAAGAGTGAATAAATGTGTCAGTAATCAACTCTAAGCCTAAAGCCACGATCGTAATTACAAATCTTTGAGGTTTAGGCTAAAGAACCCAGAAATATGGGGAGGGATAGCCTGGGGAGAAACGCCAAATGTGGGTGAAGGGGAGAAGAAAAGCAAAGCACACTGCCATGTGTGTACCTACGCAATTGTCTTGCATGTTCTGCTCATGTACCCCAAAACCTATAATCCAATAAAAAATTAAAATAAAAAAAGAACCCAGAAATATTTAAGTAGTGTATTATTAATGTGGCTGACAGTTCTTCTGAAAGCTTTTGCTTCATCTCATGCATTTCATTAAGCAATTATTTTTATTCCAGTCATTATGCAATTTTTTATTTAATTAAGTGAAATAAACACATCCTTACTTTAAAGCAAGTAGAATGGCAGCAAATCTGTAATTCATCTAAAATCATTTTAGTTTCCACACCCAAGGGTTTTCGGCAATAAGTGCACATATCTCTTTCAATGACAGACCTATAAAGACATAAGCAATTAAAAATAAATTTGCCATAATACAAAAGACAGATGTATTCCCTATAAACTCATATGGAAACAGTATTCAACGATAATCTGAAAGTATCTGATGATACTTTAGAAAATTTCACAAAATCAAGGAAAGTTTGGAGTTTATTTATTCTAGTAATAGAATTGACTCTTCTAGTTACCTCAAAATGATATCAAGTAATTAACATGAAAGAAAGTCTCAAATTATTAATTCATCAGAAATCAAGAGTGCATCTGGGTGGGATAAAGGTGTTCAGTTTCCTAGTTGAACCAGGGAATATCTCAAGTACTCCTCAGAAGTAGTTGAGGGTTTTTAATTATTAATTTACATATATCATATTACAGATTACATGGAAAAATTATGCTGCAGATTAATATACATTTTCAACTCCCAAAATATTCAATATGCCCAAAATAGAAATCCATTCAAGAGCATGTTGATAAACTCACAAAATCATGGGACTTTAGGGGCCAGAGTCACCAAAACACTCCTCAAGGTGCCACTGTAAGACTCAGGATGTAAGAATACCTCCTATGACAAAATTTATGCTCTCCAGCAAGATATAACCCCACCACAAATTTGATGGGGAAGAAAAGAGAGCTACGTTATTTATTAAATAACAAATATTAAATATTTTTAAAATGATATTTAATAGTAAATGATCTGTAGATGTGATCAGCAGAATCCGAAATATCTTGAGTCACACCAGAACCTTAGGAAAGGATCCTTTTCCTTTTTTAAGGTCTTAGGACTGTGTTAAACAGCATCCTTCAGAGTATACTAGTTTTAGGGGATTAGCATGCAGGCCTGACATTTCCAGAGTAGGATATGTAATGGGGTAGTGAAATTAAGCAGCCAATATTTACGTAGTGCTTTATATGATACGTGCAGCGCACTTTTCTCTGCACTTTACTTACATAAACTCATTTATTCATTACCACATTCCAGACAAGCCAATATTACTATTTTTATCATCATTTTGGTAAAAAGGAAACTGAGGCACAGAAGGATAAGTAATATGCCACTATCATGAAACTAGTGAGTGGAAGAGTAAATATTTATTTATATATATGAGATTTAGAAAGAGGTTTCTAGAATGATTAAAAGTATAAAGCTAGATAAAGCTTATCAACTCTAATGCCTTTCTTTTCCCACTTTCTTTTCCCTTTCATTTTCTCTCCTCTCTGCTCCTACTTCTGGGCTTGGTAATAGATTAGCGTTTCCTGGGTACTACTAACTCATTTCAACACAATGAGCGCAACAGATCTTGATTCATTGTGTTGGGACCACACTGCCTCCAATCATTCCACAAGCACTGATCTAGGAGCTGCAAATACAAAGAGTGGTGAAACAGTATCCTCTGACAAGACGCTCTTTCCACTACATGATGTAAAGACACGTGATATAACGATCACAGTGGAATACAGGTACATGGAAAGAGTGAGGAGATCACAGCCAAGAGAACCACTAACCCCTGGAGTGAGGTCAGGAACACCTTGTCAGAAAAAAAGTGCTGTATGTGTTGTTTGAAGAGGAAAGAGCTCTCAAGGTGGGCTTGGTGGGGTGGGGATGAAGGGATGGTAGAGGAATTCCAAGCAGAGTAAACAGAACATACAAATGTGCTCATCTGGGAGGGTATTTGGAGGGACTGAGCATCAGTGAATATTCTGCAGGAGCATGTTCTGAAGGGCATGAAGAATGTGTAAAAGAACTTGGCTTCATCCCGTTACATGAGAAACCACTTTAAACAGGACTGACATGCTTAGATACGAACTATAAGAACATTGCTACACTACATTTACACACTATCAACAGTAAAAGGTTGTATAACCAACTGGTCTCATAGAGAATTGACTTCTGCAGTGATGGCTAAGAAAAATTGCAAAGCCACTTTAGGAACAGCATTTAAAGCCTTTGTATTAACAGCAATACTTTTATGGAGAAAATTTTCCTCCCTTAAGTTAATAATAAAAATACAAGCTCAGGAAATGCCTTGATGTTGGTATCATCTTTACTAAGATCATATATTTAGTCAAAGATCTTTTTGAAGTATTATGAAAAACCTAGCTCTGCTGTTTTTTAATTGGTTATCCAGATGATATTTGTAGTTCTAATGCTAGTGTCGAGGACTTTACTGCTCAAAGAGGTGTCACTTATAGGCGAGACACTCAACAAAGCATTGCTAATGGACCAAATATTGAAAAAGTCATAAGAGAAGGATATAATTTTGATGCCTGGTTCATCCATGTTTCCTTTAGAAAATGGAGCAGAGGTTCATGTTTTCAAAAAAAGACCCCATTTACTGAGTACACATTAGGTACCAAGCACTGTGTTAGAAGCTGAGACTTTACATGAAAATAAGATATGTCTCTACCTTGGCTAGAGTCATAGCTCCAGTCCCTGCTATAAAGAAACACCATCAGTGGAATATCAGACATTTCTATGACGACGTGTTTCCAGTGCTTAGGTTGAAATGATTCATTTACTCCATTGAAAATCTGCAGGTCATACTCTCATGAATGTCACCTAGGTGACCCACTAACATTAAACGGTAAAAGAGGATCACTAACAGCAAAAAACTGGAACAGGGCCAGTTCACCAGCACGCAATCAATATGCATCATACTCCACTCCTGGGAACTGAGCTTGGGCCCAGAGTGGGTCACAGCAACATATATCTGTGCGGCTGTTTGTAAGCCAAGAAGGCTGCAAAAAAACACAAGGAGGGAGGGCTGAGGGCACAGTCTATGGATGCAATGAAGCCTAAACGCTAATAATGTGGCAGTCCTGGGGCCTCCTGGGGATCACTAGCAGCAGAGAGGCTGGCCTGGGAGGCAGCTGTAAGGCACAGAAAGGCCTTTTGATAATGTGCATCAAAATCAGACAGCAGCAACAGCCAGGAAGCCAAGAAACAAATTTCTGGATGCAGAAGTTGTCGTTATTGAGTTGCACTTTGTTCTGTCCACGCACATTCATGACAAGAAACTAAGTGGAACCATCTCTAAGTACAAAGGACAGCAAGATGTATATATCAATGTGTATGCATGTATATGTACTTTTTACATATGGAAATAAAGACATAAGACATACTCACCTATCAGAAGTTGAATAAACAGTTTGTATGTATTTTCCAGAGACATTCTCCTGATAGCTATCCTTGGGTGATTTACTAGGAACAAACATATATGCACATGTGAGAGTCAGGCGATTTTCCTTATGCAGATAAGAAAACCACTCACATTGTCTCATGAAGCCTCATAATATTTTATTTTTGTGTATGTTACAAGCCAGGATGATATAATGACACCTTGTTTTAATCTATAGAAATATTAACATACAAGTCACCTCCAAAGTAACATATATATCAAAATAAATAGAGTAGGGTAAGGCATACAGGAACAAGTGTGAGCAGGAAAAGAAGTCCACATCTTTCATGAAATATATAGTTGCACCTCATCTGTTTATTAAAGAAACCTACACAGAATGTAACATAGATAAAGGAAATCACAAAGCACAAACAGAGCAAGCACATAGACACATACACCATTCCCAGGGAGAAACTGAGATTCTTTAACTTTTAGAGCAAGCACCAAAGATTTTTATTTTTACTTCAATATATCCAAGAAAAATAACTTAGAATGAAAGCAAGAGACGTATAACTTTTTAAAGATTTTTCTTTTCTATTATGTAGATTGTCCCAGTTTTTAAACACCACTCTTTACTGAAGACAAATAAAATCTGTAATGTCCTAACCAGCTGGCTCCCATAATTGCTTCCCAAGTACTTACGCCACCTGGAAACATATTAAGAATAAAAGCAATATATTTCTTTTATTTCATACAATGAGTGATAACTTCATGACCCTCTCTCTCCAAATTTCCTGTAGGCAGACTGCTATCAGAACTAAATTCTACTTTATGAAACATATAATCCCACAATGCTAAATAAGAATTTGCATATACATATTTGGTTCATTTTAAATTCTTTTTTTTTTAACTTTTTTTAAAAAATTGCATTTTAGGTCTTGGGGTACATGTGCAGAACATGCAAGATAGTTGCATAGGTACACACATGGCAGTGTGTTCTGCTGCCTTCCTCCTCTTCACCCACATTTGGCATTTCTCCCCAGGCTATCCCTCCCCAGCTCCCCTCCTCTGCTGTCCCTCCCTTATTCCCCCCAATAGACCCCAGTGTGTAGTACTCCCTTCACTGTGTCCATGTGTTCTCATTTTTCATCACCCGCCTATGAGTGAGAACATGCGGTATTTCATTTTCTGTTCTTGTGTCAGTTTGCTGAGAATGATGTTCTCCAGATTCATCCATGCCCCTACAAACAACACAAACTCATCATTTTTGATTGCTGCATAACATTCCATGGTGTATATGTGCCACATTTTCCCAGTCCAATCTATCATTGATGGGCATTTGGGTTGGTTTCAGGTCTTTGCTATTGTAAACAGTGCTGCAGTGAACATTTGTGTGCATGTGTCCTTGTAGTAGAACGATTTATAGTCCTTTGGATATATACCCAGTAATGGGATTGCTGGGTCAAATGGAATTTCTATTTCTAAGGCCTTGAGGAATCGCCACACTGTCTTCCACAATGGCTGAACTAATTTACACTCCCACCAGCAGTGTAAAAGTGTTCCTATTTCTCCACATCCTCTCCAGCATCTGTTGTCTCCAGATTTTTTAATGATCGCCATTCTAACTGGTGTGAGATGGTATCTCAATGTAGTTTTGATTTGCATTTTTCTAATGACCAGTGATGATGAGCATTTTTTTCATATGTTTGTTGGCCTCATGTATGTCTTCTTTTGTAAAGTGTCTGTTCATATCCTTTGCCCATTTTTGGATGGGCTTGTTTGTTTTTTTCCTGTAAATCTGTTTGAGTTCTTTGTAAATTCTGGATATCAGCCCTTTCTCAGATGGGTAAACTGCAAAAATTTTTTCCCATTCTGTTGGTTGCCGATTCACTCTAGTGACTGTTTCTTTTGCCGTGCAGAAGCTGTGGAGTTTGATTAGGTCCCATTTGTCTATTTTAACTTTTGTTGCCAATGCTTTTGGTGTTTTGGTCATGAAGTCCTTGCTTATTCCTATGTCCTGGATGGTTTTGCTTAGATTTCCTTCTAGGGTTTTTATGGTGCCAGGTCTTATGTTTAAGTCTTTAATCCATCTGGAGTTAATTTTAGTATCAGGTGTCAGGAAGGGGTCCAGTTTCTGCTTTCTGCACATGGTTAGCCAGTTTTCCCAACACTATTTATTAAACAGAGAATCCTTTCCCCATTGCTTGTTTTTGTCAGGTTTATCAAAGATTGTATGGTTGTAGATATGTTGTGTTGCCTCCGATGCCTCTGTTCTGTTCCATTGGTCTATATCTCTGTTTTGGTACCAGTACCATGTTGTTTTGATTACTGTAGCCTTGTAGTATAGTTTGAAGTCTGGTAGTGTGATGCCTCCCGCTGTGTTCTTTTTGCTTAGAATTGACTTGGCTATGCGGGCTCTCTTTTGGTTCCATATGAAGTTCAAGGTGGTTTTTTCCAGTTCTGTGAAGAAAGTCAATGGCAGCTTGATGGGGATAGCATTGATTCTGTAAATTACTTTGGGCAGTATGGCCATTTTCATGATACTGATTCTTCCTAACCATGAACATGGAATGTTTCTCCATCCGTTTGTGTCCTCTCTTATTTTGCTGAGCAGTGGTTTGTAGTTTTCCTTGAAGAGGTCCCTTACATTCCTGGTAAGTTGTATTCCTAGGTATTTTATTCTTTTTGTAACAGTTGGGAATGGCAGTTTGTCCTTGATTTGGCTCCCTTTAAGTCTGTTTTTGGTGTATATGAATGCTTGTGATTTTTGCACATTGATTTTATATCCTGAGACTTTGCTGAAGTTGCTTATCAGTTTCAGGAGTTTTTGGGCTGAGACGATGGGGTCTTCTAGGTATACTATCATGTCGTCTGCAAATAGAGACAATTTGGCTTCCACCTTTCCTATTTGAATACCCTTTATTTCTTTTTCTTCCCTGATTGCTCTGGCTAGAACTTCCAGTACTATATTGAATAGGAGTGGTGAAAGAGGGCATCCTTGTCTAGTGCCAGATTTCAAAGGGAATGATTCCAGTTTTTGCCCATTCCGTATGATACTGGCTGTTGGTTTGTTGTAAATAGCTTTTATTACTTTGAGATACGTTCCATCAATACCGAGTTTATTGAGGGTTTTTAGCATAAAGGGCTGTTGAATTTTGTCATAAGCCTTCTCTGCAATAATTGAGATAATCACGTGGTTTTTGTTTTTGGTTCTGTTTATGTGGTGAATTACATTTATAGACTTGCGTATGTTGAACCAGCCTTGCATCCCTGGGATGAAGCCTACTTGATCATGATGGATACGTTTTTTGATGTGCTGTTGCAATCGGCTTGTCAGTATTTTATTGAAGATTTTTGCATCTATGTTCATCATGGATATTGGCCTGAAATTTTCTTTTCTTGTTGGGTCTCTGCCGGGTTTTGGTATCAGGATGATGTTGGCCTCATAAAATGATTTGGGAAGGATTCCCTCTTTTTGGATTATTTGGAATAGCTTCAGAAGGAATGGTAGCAGCTCCTCTTTGTGTGTCTGGTAGAATTCTGCTGTGAACCCATCTAACCTGGGCTTTTTTTGTGTGGTAGTCTCTTAATTGCTGCCTTGACTTCAGACCTCGTTTTTGGTCTATTCATAGTTTCAGCTTCCTCCTGGTTTAGGCTTGGGAGGACACAGGTGTCCAGGAATTTATCCATTTCTTCCAGGTTTACTAGTTTATGAGCATAGAGTTGTTTGTAATATTCTCTGATGATGGTTTGAATTTCTGTGGAATCTGTGGTGATTTCCCCTTTTTTGTTTATTGTTGCATCTATTTGGTTGTTCTCTCTTTTCTATCAGTCTGGCTAGTGGTCTGTCTATTTGGTTGATCTTTTCAAAAAAACAGCTCTTGGATTTATTTATTTTTTGAAGGTTTTTTTCGTATGTCTACCTCCTTCAGTTCTGCTCTGATCTTACTTATGTCTTGTTTTCTGCTAGGTTTTCAGTTTTTTTGATCTTGCTCCTCTAGCTCTTTCAATTTTGATGATAGGGTGTCAATTTTGGATCTTTCCACTCTTCTCATATGGGCACTTATTGCTATATATTTTCCTCTGGAGACTGCTTTAAATGTGTCCCAGAGATTCTGCTATGTTGTGTCTTCATTCTCATTGGTTTCGAAGAACTTCTTTATTTCTGCCTTCATTTCACTGTTTATCCAGTCAACATTCAAGAGCCAGTTGTTCAGTTTCCATGAAGCTGTGTGGTTCTGAGTTAGTTTCTGAATTCTGAGTTCTAGCTTGATTGCACTATGGTCTGAGAGACTGTTTGTTATTATGTCAGTTGTTTTGCATTTTCTGAGGAGTGCTTTACTTCCAATTATGTGGTCAATTTTAGAGTAGGTGTGATGTGGTGCTGAGACGAATGTATATTCTGTGGATTTGGGTGGAGAGTTCTGTAAATGTGTATCAGATTTGCTTGTTCCAGGTCTGAATTCAAGCCCTGGATATCCTTGTTAATTTTCTGTCTGGTTGATCTGTTTAATATTGACAGTGGAGTGTTAAAGTCTCCCACTATTATTGTGTGGGAGTCTAAGTCTTTTTGTAAGTCATTAAGAACTTGCCTTATGTATCAGGGTGCTCCTGTATTGGGTCCATATATATTTAGGATTGTTAGCTCTTCTTGTTGTATCGATCCTTTTACCATTATGTAATGACCTTCTTTGTCTCTTTTGATCTTTGTTGCTTTAAAGTCTATTTTATCAGAGACGAGAATCGCAACTCCTGCTTTTTTTTGCTCTCCATTTGCTTGGTAAATCTTCCTCCATCCCTTTATTTTGAGCCTTTGTGTATCCTTGCCTGTGAGATGGGTTTCCTGGATACAGCACACTGATGGGTTTTGGGTTTTTATCCAATTTGCCAGTAGGTGTCTTTTGATGGGTGCATTTAGCCAATTTACATTTAGGGTTAATATTGTTATGTGTGAATTTGATACTGCCATTTTGATGCTAGCTGGCTGTTTTGCCCATTAGTTGATGCAGATTCTTCATTTTGTTGATGCTCTTTAGCATTTGGTATGTTTTTGGAATGGCTGGTACTGGTTATTCCTTTCTATGTGTAGTGCCTCTTTCAGGAACTCTTGTAAAGCAGTCCTGGTGGTGATAAAATCTCTGAGTACTTGCTTGTTTGCAAAGGATTTTATTTTTCCTTCACTTATGAAGCTCAGTTTGGCTGGATATGAAATTCTGGGTTGAAAGTTCTTTTCTTTAAGGATGTTGAATATTGGCCCCCACTCTCTTCTGGCTTGTAGAGTTTCTGCCGAGAGATCTGCTGTGAGTCTGATGGGCTTCCCTTTGTGGGTGACCCGACCTTTCTCTCTGGCTGCCCTTAGTATTTTCCTCCTTCATTTCAACCCTGGTGAATCTGATCATTATGTGCCTTGGGGTTGCTCTTCTTGTGGAATATCTTTGAGGTATTCTCTGTATTTCCTGCATTTGAATATTGGCCTGCCTTTCTAGGTTGGGGAAATTTTCCTGAATAATATCCTGAAGAGTATTTTCCAGCTTGGATTCATTCTCTTCGTCACATTCTGGTACACCTATCAAACATAGGTTAGGTCTCTTCACATAGTCCCACATTTCTTGGAGACTTTGTTCATTCCTTCTTGCACTTTTTTCTCTAATCTTTGTTTCTCGTTTTATTTCATTGAGTTGATCTTCGACCTCTGATATTCTTTCTTCTGCTTGGTCAATTCAGCTGTTGAAACTTGTGCATGCTTCACAAAGTTCTCGTGTTGTGTTTTTCAACTCCTTCAATTCATTCATATTCCTCTCTAAGTTGTCCATTCTTGTTATCATTTCCTCAAATCTTTTTTCAATGTTCTTAGTTTCTTTGCATTGATTTAGAACATGTTCTTTTAGCTCATGGAAGTTTCTCATTACCCACCTTCTGAAGTCTGATTCTGTCATTTCGTTACACTCATTCTCCATCCAGCTTTGTTCCCTTGCTGTTGAGTAGTTTTGGTCCTTTGTAGGAGGCGAGGTGTTTTGGTTTTGGGTGTTTTCCTCCTTTTTGCACTGGTTTCTTCCCATCTTTGCAGGTTTATCCACCTGTCATCTGAGTAGTTGCTGACTTTTTGATTGGGTCTCTAAGTGGGCACCCAGATTGTTGATGATGAAGTATTTCTGTTACTTAGTTTTCCTTCTAACAATATAGCCCCTCTGTTGTAGGACTGCTGAGGTCCACTCCAGGCCCAGCTTGTTTGGGATACACCTGTAGCAGCTGCAGAACAGTGAGGGGTGCTACCAGTTTCTTCTTCTGCTATCTTTGTCCCAGAATGATGCCCACCAAATGTCAGTCTGATCAGTCCTTTTTGAGGTGACTCTTTGGATATACAGAGGTCAGGGAGCTGCTTGAGGAGGCGGTCTGTACTTTACAGGATCTCAAGTGCTGAGCTGTGAGCTCTGTTGATCATTCAGGGCTGTTAGGCCAGTACATTTAAGTCTGCTGCAGCAGAACTCATAAAACCCCTTTTTTTCCTAAGATGCTCTGTCTCAGGGAGTTAGGGCTTTCTTTATGAGTATCTGTTGCACCTTCCTGCCCAACTAGGAGGCAGTCTAGTCACTATTTGCCTGCCAAGGCTCCACCCTGCTGCTGTGGGGTCCACCCTGTTGCTGTGGGCTCTGCTCTGCTGGTGTGGGCTCCGCCCTGCTGCCGTGGGCTCTGCCCTGTTGGCAGAGTCTCTCTGTTATGGCGGGTTGCCTGGGCAACAGCAGGCTGTGTCAGCAATGGGAGTGTACCTCAGAAGGGGTGGTATGCCTTGGTAATGGCAGACGCCCCTCCCCCACTGAGCTGCACCATCCTGGGTTCAGCTGTGCCTGCAGTGAAACTCTCAACCCCAAGCTTTTCAAATCACCATTTTGTTTGTTGCTCTGGGGGTGGGACCCGCCAAGCCTGATCACCTGGCTCCCTGCCTCAGAGCCCCCTTTTTTTTTAATTTTTAAGTTGAATGGTTGACTCTCTCCCAGGTGTTTCAGTCGGCTGGTGTTAGGGCACCGGGATCTGTGTGATATCCCATGCAGCGACCCACTGCACCGGCCCAAACATCTCTTCCTGGGAATCTCCTGGTCTGGCTCACTGTCCAAGTTTCATTTAATCAGATGGATATGCTAATCTGCCCTCCCAAATCTCAGATTGCCAGTTTAACAGGGCACCCAGAGCAGTGCGTTCTGTGCAGAGTGCGGCAGCGCTGCGGTGCTGGCTGAAACGGCTGCCTGAGTTGAAGCAGCTGTGCTGGCATCCCGTGTCTCTCCTACACCTGGGAATTTCCCTGTTCTGTGGGCAAGAAAGATCCGTCTGGAAATGCGTATTGAACTCACCCTCTGCATCTTCACTGAGAGCTGCAATCCTGATTTGCTCCTACCGCACCATCTTGGCAGTCCCCGCCTCCCAGTTTCAAGAATTTGCATATATTTATGCAGGATGAACATATCATAATTCCCATTTTATTGATGAGGAAACTGAGACTAGAAGAGTAACATCACTAAGGCTACATGATTAGGAAATGACAAAGAAGGATTTAACCTCAAATGTGACTCTAGGGACTATGTATTGTACCATACTGCCTGTCAATGCAGATTTTAGGGAACTTAAGGACGTCTGAGGGACATCACCATCCTTACTAGGTTACAGGAGGCAGCCAATCCCTCCAGAGTTTCTGGTCAACAGACTATTAGCCTGATATGCCACACCATTCATATTTTCTGTTTATAATAATGGGGCTCAAACTCAGATTCACATCAGGAACATCTGAAGAGTTTGTTAAAACACAAGTTGCTGGGCTGGAGCTGCAGAGTTTCTGATTAAGCAGGCAGGAGTGAGGCCAAATAATTTTTATTTCTAAAAAGTTCCCAGGTCATGCTCATGATGCTGACCCAGAGACTATGCTTTGAGAATTACTGTTCTATATGTGAACATGATACACATATATATATGTACATGGTATACAGTATGCAGTTAAAAAATAAACTATAGTCATTATAATAAAATAAGTATGTTTTAGTCTTGGTACTTCTATGAATCAAGTTAATATTATTTTATCCATCTATCCAATTAATTAAAAAATCCAGAGTATGATGTTTAGCAGAATATTCCTAAATCTTAAAAAAATCATTCATTATTCAAAAATCAATATTGTAGTTGTTTGGCATTAGTTCCCATAAGACATTTCTTTAAAAATCAAAATGTATTGATGTGACATTTTATAAAGATACAAATATGAGAGATTACTATGTAAATATAGAAGTAAGTGCCTATGTTATTGTTCCCCAGTATTTCATGCCTTGCCTTTACTATGATACTATTTGATATTATATATCTTTTTATCAGTCTATTTCAGACTTAGTAACTACTTGCTACTTTAAAATTTACTCTGAAATGTTTAACTTTTAGTTTAATTGAAAGCAAAAATCACTGACTTGAACACACCAGAGTGAGAAGTGGATTAAGAAAAAATCAATGTCGATGTTGCATTTTACAAGGTAAATTATGCATGGGTTTGAGAAACCTTTTTTGGAAGACTGCTCACCTCCTGACATGTATTGAATTTCCTGGATACCCGTCACAACGGCCTTCCACACAGAAGCCTCCCTGAATACTCTGCTCTGAGACGTCTTTGAAATGGGCTTGGATTAACACATGAGTTGTGTATACCGGAATTCGTGTGCCCCACCATGAGTGTACTCCACAACTGGGGCAATTCTTGTTTTATATTCCTTGAAAACCAAATGAATTCTTGAGCCCTGACCTTGGTTTACATTTTCCTCAATATGCAAAACTCCAAGCAGCAGATTTCAACTGAGACATCAATATCCTATAACTTGCGCTAGGATACACTACTCAAAGTTATACCTCTTATTTTAGATTGGAGGTAAACAACAGTAGATAGAATCATTTAATTCAAGTGGAACACCAAATTAGTAGAGGAATAGTTGTGCAATTTTATAAAGCTTATTTTAACCATATAGTTATATACATTTATGTGACAACTTTCAAATGGCAATCCTATTATGTATACATCTGTTATATTAAAATATTACTGATTTCATCTAATGGCTATAATTATTTATAGCCCAAGTATATAATATCAGAAACCTTATAGAGAATTACATATGAAAAACTCAATATACTCATAAATGGTCTTCTATTTGAAAGAAACACACCCTAAAAAAATTGCATCTCTTATTAAGAATAGATCCTTTCGAAATTACAAAATGAAGCAGAATGTTTTAAATAAACTTCGAATACCTATTCTCCACGTATGTTCTTGTGTACACAACAGTATCCTTTGGTCCTTCCTGCTTGGGTCCAGTGTTAGAGCTGCAAAACAAATCATTTTACTTCATGTTTTAAGCTTATTTGCAGGGATAATAGAAACAAGGCAATTTTCTAATTGATGCAAAATGTCATGCACATATGTTCCTTCTGAATTATAATTGTTGAAACATGAATGTTAGAGTGGTATTAACACACCACTGCAAACATTTTTTTATCTTCCATTTTGTTTTTAACTTCCACTGTCTTGGTTTACTTCCAGAATATTGTTACACAACTTGGGCACTAGGTAATTCTTTTGTAGAACATGAACATTATTTTTCAATATTTGTATATGTTATAGTGTCTCTTTCTCTGATGTCCCATTTATATTTCCAAACCATAACTTTCTTCATAAACCTCAAACCAAAAGTAGAGTTAAATTAGCTATCTTGAAAATATCTGATTTAACAAAGCCTTTAGATATACCTAAAGAATGTCAGACTAATGTCACAATCATGCTTTTTTAAATTATAGACTTTTTAGGGGAAAATCACATTTGATACTTTCCTATCCAGATGTCACACAATGACAAAGTCATTAACTCAACACTTTGATGTAAGGCTGTTTATACAGGTAACCCCACATAAAATTAGAAATTTCTGCATTTCAAAGGAAGGGTCATTTGGATGTGGGATATTTTCAAAAAACAAAAGGAGAATAGTCCTGTCATTTACTCTGCAGTTGTCCACTGTACCTGAGACTGTTTCTGGCTTCATAAGAATAGGAAGGGATTCTTGTGGACTGGTTGTGTAGAGCATTAGTGAACCCATTGACTTGGCCATCTAGCCTGAGAAAGCAAACACAAGTATTTGGCACTTCAAATCAAGGTCATTAGAAGTTTTTTGTTTTATTGAAATTCTTCTCAATTAACATTATTTTACAATGTGAATCTCTTTGTATTTGCCTGGCTTCTGCACAGATAACACAAATAGAATGCATGTACTATTTTACTTCCTCTACAGAAACCTCTGCCTTGCCTTTAAGAATAATCTATAGGTATATCATCAGAGAATATTACAAACAATTCTATGCACATAAACTGGTAAACCTGGAAGAAATGGATAAATTCCTGGACATTTGCATCCTCCCAAGCCTAAACCAGGAAGAAGTCGAAACCATGATTAGACCAATAACACGATCTGAAGTCAAGGCAGCAATTAAGAGCCTACCACACAAAAAAAGCCCAGGTCCAGATGGGTTCACAGCAGAATTCTACTAGACACACAAAGAGAAACTGTTACCATTCCTTCTGAAACTATTCCAAATAATCCAAAAAGAGGGAATCCTTCCCAAATCATTTTATGAGACCAACATCATCCTGATACCAAAATCCAGCAGAGACTCAACAAGAAAAGAAAACTTCAGGCCAATATCCATGATGAACGTAGATGTAAAAATCTTCAATAAAATACTGGCAAGCTGATTGCAACAACACATCAAAAAGCTTATCCACCATGATCAAGTAGGATTCATCCCGGGGATGCAAGGTTGGTTCAACATACTCAAGTCTATAAGCATAATTCACCACATCAACAGAACCAAAAACAAAAACCACGATTATCTCAATTGACGCAGAAAAGGCCTTTGACAAAATTCAACAGCTCTTTATGCTAAAAACCCTCAATAAACTCGGTATTGATGGAACATATCTCAAAATAATAAAAGCTATTTATGACAAACCAACAGCCAATATCATACTGAATGGGCAAAAACTGGAAGCATTCCCTTTGAAATCTGGCACTAGAAAAGGATGCCCTCTTTCACCACTCCTATTCAGTATAGTACTGGAAGTTCTAGCCAGAGTAATCAGGCAAGAAAAAGAAATAAAGGGTATTCAAATAGGAAAGGAGGAAGCCAAATTGTCTCTATTTGCAGATGACATGATCATATAACTAGAAGACCCCATTGTCTCAGCCCAAAAACTCCTGAAACTGATAAGCGACTTCAGCAAAGTCTGAGGATACAAAATCAATGTGCAGAAATCACAAGCATTCCTATACACCAATAAAAGACTTAAAGAGAGCCAAATCAAGAATGAACTGCCATTCACAATTGCTACAAAGAGAATAAAATACCTAGGAATACAACTAACAAGGAATGTAAAGGACCTCTTCAAGGAGAACTACAAACCACTGCTCAGCAAAATAAGAGAGGACAGAAACAGATGGAGAAACATTCCATGTTTAATAAATGGTGTTGGGAAAACTGGCTAGCCATGTGCAGAAAGCAGAAACTGGACCCCTTCCTGACACCTGATACTAAAATTAACTCCAGATGGATTAAAGACTTAAACATAAAAACCCTAGAAGAAAATCTAGGCAAAACCATCCAGGACATAGGAGTAGGCAAGGACTTCATGACCAAAACACCAAAAGCATTGGCAACAAAAGCCAAAATACACAAATGGGAACTAATCAAACTCCACAGCTTCTGCACGGCAGAAGAAACAGTCATTAGAGTGGATCAGCAACCAACAGAATGGGAAAAAAATTTTGCAGCCCATCTGAGAAAGGGCTGATATCCAGAATTTACAAAGAACTAACACAGATTTACAAGAAAAAAACAAACAAGCCCATTCAAAAATGGGCAAAGGATATGAACAGACACTTTACAAAAGAAGACATACATGAGGCCAACAAACATATGAAAAAATGCTCATCATCACTGGTCATTAGAAAAATGCAAATCAAAACTACATTGAGATACCATCTCACACCAGTTAGAATGGCGATCATTAAAAAATCTGGAGACAACAGATGCTGGAGAGGATGTGGAGAAATAGGAACACTTTTACACTGCTGGTGGGAGTGTAAATTAGTTCAACCAGTGTGGAAGACAGTGTGGCGATTCCTCAAGGACCTAGAAATAGAAATTCCATTTGACCCAGCAATCCCATTACTGGGTATATATCCAAAGGACTATAAATTGTTCTACTATAAGGACACATGCACACGAATGTTCACTGCAGCACTGTTTACAATAGCAAAGACCTGGAATCAACCCAAATGCCCATTGATGATAGACTAGACAGGGAAAATGTGGCACATATGCGCCATGGAATATTATGCAGCAATCAAAAACGATGAGTTTGTGTCCTTTGTAGGGACATGGATGAACCTGGAGAACATCATTCTCAGCAAACTGACACAAGAACAGAAAATGAAATACCACATGTTCTCACTCATAGGCGGGTATTGAACAATGAGAACACATGGACACAGGGAGGGGAGCACTACACACTGGGGTCTGTTCGGGGGAATAGGGGAGTGACAATGGGGGGTGGGGAGTTGAGGAGAGTTGGCATGGGGAGAAATGCCAGATATAGGTGAAGGGGAGGAAGGCAGCAAATCACACTGCCATGTGTGTACCTAAGCAACTATTTTGCATGTTCTTCACATGTACCCCAAAACCTATAATGCAATAATAAAAAAGAATAATCTATAGGTATATGCCACATTATCTAACATTGTCCTTTTTATCAAGGTCAGAAACCATCTGAAATTGGTTCCTGTAACATTTTCACACCAGCAGTGCCATTAGAGAAAGCTTCCCATGTACAATATATCTAAGAGTTTATTAATTGAATGAAAATGATCCAAACGTTGCTTTGAGAAATTCTATTCTTCATTTTGGTTTTAGTGGAAGGCAATATTTTGAAGATGGCAGAAGAACTCTGACCTAGATTTCTGCTAACCTAAAAATGTCGCAATGCTTAACAAAATGTAGGCATATTTGCTTTTTCTTATGGAAGAAAGGAGATTCTTAATGCAAGAATAGAGAAAATTTTAACTCCTTTTCCTCCTCCATGTTAGTAAACTCTGACATAGAAGAGACATGAAAACCTAAATGAGAGTTTAAATCTTAATCAAGCCTTGTGATTCTCAAACAGGCTTACTTCCAGATAGCTCTTAAAGAAAAGGAAAGCATTTGTTCACATAGTACCCCCGGCATACAGAAAACCATCTGGTTTTAAGGCGGATGTTTCACAAAACATACAGCTGAGTTAAAATTCTACTAAGTGATGAGAAGTGGAATTAATATTATTAGGTTTTCTAACATGACTATTAGAATATGTCATCCCAAGAATAACAAACCTAGCTGAGAATCATTTGAAAATATTAAAATCATATAATATACAATACAAAACCCACTTTAACAAGTAGAGAGCTTCAAAGGACAAAGATTATCAGTGAGTTTGAAACGCATTTGCATTGTCCTCAGCAATATAATATCAAAAATCATGTTTGCAAAATCCACAAACAGGAGAGAGAAGTAATTTGCAAACAGTACTGTTATTGGCTGAGATGTATTCCGCCAAAATTTATATGTTTAAGCCCTAACTTTCAACATGACTATATTTGGAGACAGGGTTGATAAGGAGGTAATAAAGGTCATCTGAGGTCATGGGAGTGGGGCCTTAACCCCATAGAACTGGAATCCTCATAAGAAAAGGAAGAGCTACCAGAGATATCTTTCCTTCTGTGCACAGAGGAAAGGCCATGTGAGGACACGGTGAAGAAAGTGGCCATCTGCAAGCCAGAATGAAAGGCCTCACCAGAAACCAAGCCTGGTAGGACCTTGCATTTGGACTTCCACCCTCCAGAGCTGTAAGAAAAAAAGTGTTCATTGTTTAAGCCACCTATTATGTGGTATTTTGTTATAGCAGCCCAAGATGACTAATACAGGTATCTTTTCTCAGTTGTGTTTATAATGTGATTAACGACAATGCCTTCATGGAATACTGAATTTTTATAATTGTGAACAAAAACCAAATGATAGGTTTGGAATGTGGGACAACAAACTGATGGATTTTCGCACCTCATGTAGATTTTGAGGATGATAATTTTAAAAAATAAACCATTATTTTGGAGTAATTTTTTTTTTCTTTTGAGATGGAGTTTCACTTTTGTTACCCAGGCTGGAGTGCAATGGCGCGATCTTGGCTCACTGCAACCTCCGCCTCCTGGATTCAGGCAATTCTCCTGTCTCAGCCTCCTGAGTAGCTGGGATTACAGGCACATGCCACCGTGCCCAGCTAATTTTTTGTATTTTTAGTAGAGACGGGGTTTCACCATGTTGACCAGGATGGTCTCGATCTCTTGACTTGGTGATCCACCCGCCTTGGCCTCCCAAAGTGTTGGGATTACAGGCTTGAGACACCGCGCCCAGCCTTGGAGTAATTTTTAAATGCACAGAAAAATTGCAAAGATAATACAGAGTCCCTGTATACCCTTCACCCAGATTCCCTTAAGGCTAACAGCTTATGTAATTATAACAGAGTTGTCAAACCTACAGAATTAACATTTGTACCATACTACGAACTAAACTACAGATTCTATTCATATTTCTCTGGTTTTTCCATTGGCAACTTTTTCTGTTCCAGAATCCAATCCAGGATACCATATGTATATAATTATTGCGTCTCTTTGGTCTTCTAGGGTCTCTGATAGTCTGCCAAGTCTTTGTTTTTCATGGGATAGTGATAGATTTTACAACAAAAATTTTATCTTAACAAGTTGTAAGACTAATTTTTTCTTATTTAGAGCCATAGAAATAGAGTTGGGGAGACAACACTTTGGCAACCAATGAAACAGTCCACAGTGCCTTTTAAAATGCTACTGGGCCCCATATCCAGATATTCGAATTTAACTGGTTTGGGGCACAGGTTGGGCACTGGGAACACTTAAAGCTCTCTAGTGAGTCTCTTATACGTCAAGGTTCAGAATCACTGCCTTAGAATTGGGAAGTCCAACATCTTACTCAAAAGAGCACTGATTCTCAAACTGTAGTCCCTGGAATAGCAGGTGATTCTGATGTACCCAAAAGTTTGGGAACCAGTGTCATAGAAGAACCTCTGCCAAAATATTCCTCTCAAATGCCTTGAATAATCCTTGTAAAGGAGAACTCATGACTCATAACATATGTAACTTCACAGCTTAGTTGTTAGGAAGTTATCCTCCATTAAAACAAATTGCTGAATTGTAATTTCCAATCAATGGTCACAGTTTTGTTTCTTAATTAAACAATGACTCCACAACTACAAACCCAAATATTGTATTGAATCTTATAGAATTCCAAATGGATTTACACTTGAGAAAATTTTTCCTGCAGTAGAAATTCACCTTGAAAATTTACCTAAAACTGGCAGAGCTCGGTGGCTCACATCTGTAATCCCAGCACATTGGGAGGCCAAGGCAGGTCAATCACCTGAGGTCGGGAGCTCAAGACCAGCCTGACCAACATGGAGAAACCCTGTCTCTACTAAAAATACCAAATTAGCCAGGCATGGTAGCACATGCCTGCAATCCCAGCTACTTTGGGAGGCTGGGGCAGGAGAATTTCTTGAACCCAGGAGGTGGAGGTTGTGGTGAGCTGAGATGGCATCATTGCACTCCAGTCTGGGCAACAAGAGCAAAACTCCATCTCAAAAAAAAAAAAAAAAAAAAAAGAAGGATTTACCTAAACCCCTCATACACTGAGTATGAGAATATAACATGGTATGGCTCCTTTGAAAACATTCTATCCATTCTTCAAATGGTTAAACACAGAATTATTCTACAATCCAGCAATTTCACTCCTAGTATATAACTAACAGAAATGAAAACACATTTTCACACAAAAACTCATATATGAATGTTCATAGAAACATTATTCATAGTAGTGAATTAAAACCCAACGGTGGAAACAATCCAAATGCCATCAGCTTGTGAATAAATAAAATTGTCTGGCCACCTTATCTTTATATGATTTAAAAAGTACTGTAGCACTTAAAATCTGTGAAATACATCTATGAAATTAATTTCACTCATAGTCACAAACCATTTAGTTTAGGGAAAGACTCTGTCATTTAGAATTGAAATAAAAACATTTAAACTTACTCCTTTTGAATCTTAGAAAACAATACCCCAAAATGAAAACCTCAGAAGTAGGCTCAGAAGCAAAAGTTTTTCTCTGCCCTCCTGCCCTCCTGTCTCAGTCTCATTCTCCTGCAAGAAGAGCCAAATAAACTATCCTCTTCCCCAAAGCAAGTCACACAAACCAGAACCCCTTTTTCCCCAAAGCCAGCCATAAAACCTAAAATTATTACTCTAACTATCCCTTCACCTTTCTTTCTATGTAAAAACTGGCCATATAGAAATTATCTGGCCTCCCTTGTTTGACTGTAGATCATAAGATCTTCATTCCAGAAGAATCCTGCCCCATACCCAGAAGGAAGGAAGGCATGCTCAAGACGCTAAGAAGAATCTAGGGACACAGGCCTTGCTTGATTTCCCCACTCTGTCTCTTGCCATTAGGGTCATATTCTTTTTGTCCAATCATATTTCTACCTGGCTCTCTATACTTTATTGAATCTAAGTATTAAATGGACAATTTCCCCTGTATCTTGGGGTCTTCCTTCTGAAGGTTCCCATAACAGGTTAAATAAATTTATATGCCTTCTCTTTAATGACTCTGTCTTTTGGAAGTTGACTTTTCAGCGAAGTTTTAGAGGGCAAAGTGGAACTTTCCCCTTGGCTCCTACCTTCTTAATCAAATTAGAAAACATATATTTTCTTGGGCATCCAATTACAATGTAAAGCCAATATGTTCATGTCTCAGTTTAGCAGATTGTTCCAGGACTCTTATTTATATTTTTAATTTTATTCGTTAAAGAACCTAAGAGTTAGAGTAAGCTGAAGTTACAAAAAAGCCAAAACTGAGAGGCAACACAAATTCTTGGTTATCAAACAGAAGAAGAGCAGAGAGAATAAGGAAGTGGATAGGTAGAGGGAAGAGCAGGAAAAAGATGGACAAAAGCCAATACTCAGTGACTAGCTCAGTTCCATTAATGACAAAGAACTCTAGTTAATGTCCAAAGGTTCCAAACTTCTTCAGGTCAAGAATGAACAATCTCCCAAGTAAAATCTCTCTGAGGCCTGGCAATGCCGCCATTCCTGCTCTTGAATTTCCATGAAATTTCATTTCCTCATTAATCCATCTGATAAAATCCCATTTCATGAACAGGTCCAATGGAACTGGAATGCTTCTCAAATCAAACAGGAAATTCCTTAATTATACTTAATAATTTACTTGTAATTTTTTTTACCTCAATCACTTTCCAAATAATACTTGAATGAGATTAGTATTCCCAAATAGTACCTGTGTTTCCAGGATAAGCAAATCCTACTGAAAATTTATCCTCCCATATTCTCTCAAATATTTTCTCGAGGTCACAAACAGAAGGAAGAAGATGATTTGGAGAATTAAAGAAATAAAATAAATGATCTACCTGTTGGATTCAAGAAACTTTTATAGACAAGATGAAAAAGAAAAGTGAGCCAGCTCTTTTAGCTTTTCCATTCTCTGTAGACAATATCAAAAATATCATTTGTTTATATAAAAAAATTAGTAGAAAAGGCAACTGTACCTTTTGAAGGTGAAAATAGTAACCTATTGTATTTAGTATTCCCTAATATGTAGGGGTAAGAATTGCTAAACATGGAAAAGTTATTTCTTCCTAAAGTATACAGTCTGTGACAAAAACGAAGTATAGCTCCTGTCCTAAACTTTCTTGTAATGGCCAAAAGGTATCACAATTTTAAAGCTATTATACCCTATGGTGTAAAGAAATTTCAAAATTAGGTCCTGTTTTGTGGCTGTAATAAATTTGTGCATTCTTTTAGTACTAGGCATCCAAGGAAGAGATTCTCAGAGTGTGTTCTGCACTGCTGAAAGCTTACCAAGCAACAGTATGTAAAAATAAATCTTCACAGCCCCAAAGAGCTTTGAATTTCCATAATGCCATTTACACGCAATAGAACAGCAGGCCTTGAGTCAGAATTAGAATTAAGTTAATTTTTTCTCTATTAGCTATTAAGCACCCTATAAATTTTTATATTTGGAATACACATATATATACACACACACACACATATATATATATAAACACACTATCCAAATTATATCTTACATATATAATCTTTATAAAACATATATATATAATCTTCTAAGGCTATACAATATTTCCAGATGCTTATGGAACTCATAAGAAAGAAAGTGAATTATAATAAGCTTTACCTTTCATTCTTATTTTCAGATACACAAGATCTTACTTCAATTAAATTTTCCAAGTCCTGGTCTCTAAAGAAAAAAATATGTATTTTATAAATATAGCATATATATATAGTAGTTATAACGAAATGACAGAAGATAATAAAATACTAAAACATTCAAAAATCAGTACATAACCTTAGACACGGCCATTTGTGGCCCATCAGGCTATGGGAGAGTGGATACCTCACACTGAGCTATTTGATCCATACAACTCATGCATCAAACATGGAAGCATGGATTCCATTGTGAAAGAGAAATAAAGAACTAACTTTTTGGGAGATTTGGAAATCTGATCTGAAAAGAAATCACCAATTTTTGTTCTCATTCATCTTCTTTTTCTTTTTTATTGTATTTAGTATTTAGATGTACATCGTTTCAGGGTACATGTGATGATTTCATACATTCATATAATTTGTAAAGATCAAATCAGTGTACTTGGGCTATTTATCACCTTAAATATTTATCTTTTCTCTATGCTAGAATCACTTAAAGTCTTCTCTTCTAGCTATTTGGAAACATGCAATCGATAATTGTAAACCATAGTCATCCTACTGATTTAATACTAGGTCTTATTTATTTTATCAAACTGTGTATTTGTACCCATTAAGCAACTTCTTTTCAGCTAACATTTAATGGGTACTAATTTTGTGTCATGGAGTACTAACTTTTTACATGGATTATCTCATTCAGATCTCATAAAAGTCCTGCAGGACAGCATCTGGAGCTCAGAAAGGCAAAGTCAATTTTTCAAGGCCAATTCACTAATTTATGGAAGAGTCAAGATTTGAGACGATGCCATCTGCCCACCTGAAATCAATTATTGAATGTTTACCTGGAGACCTTATTTAGACCTTTGGGATCACAGAAACAAGGGAAATCAACTCAAAATTTGAATGAACGATTTATTATGCGGAGTAATCAGATTCTTAAATCCTGGGCTACATTAATGATTTGAAGATGGTTTTCTACAAGCCAAGGAGAGAAGCCTGACACAGATACTTCCCTTTCGGCCTCAGAAGGAACAAACTGAACCCTGCTGACAGCTTGATCTTGGACTAGCCTCCAGAGCTATGAAACAAAAATATTTGTCTTTAAGCTACCCATTCTGTGGTAGTTTGTTATGCAGCTCTAACAAATAAATATGGGTCTGCTTCTACCCTCACAATGTAATTACATTTATTTTCTCAGTCTTATGGTGAACATCTTCAACTCCTCCTGGCTTTCAACTCCTGGTTGCTGTAGACACTGCATCTTTGCTCTGCTCACCTGTCACTCAAGCTCTTTTGTGCCTTAGCTTGCATGAGGGGAGAAAGAATGGGTTTGGAGCTGAGAAAGGAGAAGAAGCAGAATCTTAAAAATCTAACAACTACAGATAGATAACTCAAAATTGCAACCTATGCATGCCTTCAAAGAAACACCTTTCCAAAGTGGTACAGTTGCAAGTCACCAAATAAACCATATAATTAGTTGTTTCATAAAATTTTTTCTATTTGATTAAACAGTGCCACGTAGCAGGTTTGGTAGGGTAAGATTTTATTTATTTATGTATTTATGTATTTACTTATTATTTTAAGGCTAGTCAAGTGAAGAAATGGAAGTGGAAAAGGAACAAAGAAATCTATAACTGGCTGTGATCAATTAGTAGTAAACACCACTGCACTCAGGGCAGCCAAGATTTTAATCTGAATAATCTATATTAATATTTAATGTAAATAGTAAGTTGCAGATTAAGAAAAGTAGAAAATGTGTATTTGCTTTGGCAATTCACTATGATTGATGTCATCAGCCATATTTGAATATCCAATAAAAGAAGCACAGACTGCTCATAACTTTCCAAGTTAAAGGAGATAAAAATAAATGTTTTGTTCTTTAATTAAGACCACATTAATTGCATAGTGACTTTTACACTGAAGTATAAGATGAGGAACTGTGAGTCAAGTGTGAAAAATAGATTTTTATAGAAATGAAGCCAAATGCTGCAGGGTTAAGCAGAGGCTTGGCGTGGAAGACAGGCAGATCTTACAATTTTATACCTTTATGGACAGGTGGAATTAATTCTAAGAAAATCACCAACTTTCTGTAGTTACAGAAAATTGTTGGAGAGCAAATTGTTACTAACCATTATAACCAATAATGTTTTTTGTTTGTTTTTTAGAGACTGGGGTCTAGCTCTGTCTCCCAGGCTCTAGTGTAATGGTGCTGTCATAGCTCACTGCAGCCTCCAATTCCTGAGCTCAGACAATCTTCCAGTCTTAGCTTCGCAAGTAACTGGGACCACAGGTGCATGCCATCACACCCAGCTATTTTTTTTTTTTTTTAATTTTTGTAGAGACGGGTTCTCGCCATGTTGTCCAGGCTGGTCTCAAACTCCTGGCGTCAAGCCATCGTCTCACCTCAGCCTCCCAAATAACTGGGATTACAGGTGCCTGGACTAATAATTTTTTAAATGTATTTTCAGAATATTTGGGGAGGAATATGAGTTATCTATGAGATAGAGCCACAGGACAATTTTTGAGTATAATAATTTATCCATGTTATAATAGTGTCATTTAATTTTTACTATTACATCAAAGATTGTAACACTCTCTTACAACGCAGGTGAAGAGAAAAAAATAGAAATTCTGCATACCCAGGAATTACATCTTTTACCACACAACTTTTCCTAGGAGAAGTTCTGCATATGAGAACATTATTAGCTCACTCCTAACTGTTCTTCCTTCCTCCTGTGGGTGTGGGAGGCATTTATAAATAGGCAGCAATATGTTTCTCACCATACAGCTCATTTCAATTGCTTTTGTAGAGTATCAAACATATTTATAAAATTAAGTATCTTCTTAGAAAAAATTTACTATGGTATTCCTTTTATGCCACCATTGGGCATTAGTTCAAAAGGAGTATATGTCTTTCTGAAAGAAATAGAGAATACAGTAAGAGAACTGGTATAATTCTTCAACTTATTGACATTGCAAAATGGGCCCATCTCTTTGTATTTTTGCGTATTTTTAATTCTTTTCAGTGAGGGAGTCTTAAAGATTTTGCATTAAAGAAATTAACAGGTCTATAGAAAAGTTAGGCAATTAGGGTACTTTAAATATAAGATGTGACCAAGAATTTCAGTGGCTCCAATTCACTATAGTTCATTGAGATTATGCCATGAGCAGAAGGTAGTCATTGGCTCAAGCAAGGAGACCAGTCATAAATCTGATTTTGTTCATCTGGTTTCACTCATTGTAGCTCAGAATGTTACAGCTGGAGGGCTCGACTTTAAGTAATAAGGCATTGATGAGTTTGAGATTTACCCTCTAATTCATAGAATATTTGCTAAATATCTAACATGTGCCAGGCATTGCCCTATGCACTATAGGTAAATAAATAAACAAGACAGACCCAATAGTAACCCTTAAAGACCTTCTAGTCAGAAAGGGATGATTAACAATAACTCTTTTAAAGAAATCAGTGCTGTGGGACAAAAAAGACAACTTGAGAACATCTAGAAGTATCTGATGCAGACTTGGTGGGTCAGTGGGGCTTCCCAGAGCCTGAGTGAGAGATACCTAAGCTGATACGTAAAGGATAAGTAGAAGATAGCCAAGCAGTAGCAATGAAGGAGGAGTGAGGAGCATGCAAGTTAGAGGGTGTGTGGGTAGGGTCTGCTTTTGGGTCAAGAGTGATAACAGATGGAGCGGGGAGGCCCATGGATGCCAGATCACGGTGGGCTTGGAGACCGGGTTAAGGAGGAGCATGGCCATTATGCAATGTCAATGGGGACCCACAGAAGGAGTTTAATCAGAATGACGTGATTAGATTTGTGTCTTAGGAAAATCACTCCACAGGGTTGGCAAATGGATTGAAGGGCAGAAGGGGAGACCGGTAGCAGAGGGGCAGGCAAGGAGGCCGAACAATAATCTCGACTACAGTACCAGCGAGTGTGATGAAGTATCTTGGACCACTTCCTGAGGTTGTTAGGCAATGCATCCAAAGTGATTGATTGATTATGGGGAACGAAGCAACAGAAAGAGTCAAGGTTGTCCCTAGATTTATGTTAACAGAAATATGAAAAATATGCAATAGGTAGTTAGAAAGGAACTCTTCTCAGTTTGGAATACTAAAATCTTGAAGGTGTCTTAACAAATAGGAAGTCCTTAAGAAGACAGAAGTATAATGCCACAAATAGTCAAGAGTATTTTTTTTTCTACCTTAGATAAAGGGTATCTTTTCTAACCATAAAGACCTTAGTGTCACTAGATGCTTTTCAATTTTCATTCAGGAGCAGAAATTTAGAGTTTTAATCATCAGTCTATCAACAGTTTATAGGCTACCTATAACTGAATATCTCTCTTTGACATTGGTTGATGAATATGTGAAAGTGTTACTGCTAAAAGTCATGCGAATTCTTACTGAATAAAGGAAAATTGTGTGCACATCTGTATTTGTTCTGAGGAGATGCTCAAGGATGCCTGCTTACATTCTGATCAATGACTGTAGTTTATTCAGCCCACTGTGAATTAAATGTACAGCTGCTGAAAATGTCAGTAAAGTCAGATGAAACAACTCTGATTCACTGCTGTTATACTATTAAATAATCAGTGCTTGTGTCACATTGAATTGATGTAAAAGTGCCTTGTGTGTTCTTCCTACTGGGAGCACTTTTAAAATACTCTCCTTTTTACCTACATTAAAATCAAGAGGGCAGCATGGATACATTACAGATACAGGTCACTTCATTATAGAATGAAGCCACTTTTTTCAAATAGATGGTTCAGTCTTTCCTGTTTGTCTGCTTTTTGTGAAAATTCTTGAACATCCCAGCTGATTCTCATCAAATCTGGCATACTACTAAAGAATAATTAGGTTAGGTTAGAATTGTGAATCAAGCCATCATCTTAAAACAACAAATGATAGCCAATACTTTTAATTTTTTTTACAGTAATCATATCTGTATATGAAAAATGTCCTTACTGTGAATATTTGATTAGAAGTTGCTGAAATACAAACTGCCTTTTTACAAAATTGGCCTCTTCTAATAAAACAAAAGGCAAAACTTTCTGACAAAGTTACCGTTGTCAACAAAGCACAATTGTCAGAGGGACTGAGGGAGGAAGGAGGTAGGGGAGGGGATGTGAGAGAGAAAGTGAGAGACTACATTTTTCACTGTTCGTTATTACATAATGTAATATGTAATTACATTATTAAACCTAACCACTTTCAAAATCATAGGGAACTTCCTAAAACTGTTACTGATAAGAAGAAAAATCCACTCAACAGATACCACTGTAAAGGGCTGTACTTGACAAAGATATTTCCATATGATTATCAGCAGCAGGGCTCACCTTTATTTCAGCTATTAGAAAAATCCCCATAAAGCAAGGGTTTTCTTTCCTCCCTGTCATTTTCACAATGATCCTCTAGAATAAATATATCTGATCACAGTCCTTAAACTGTGCATGGGCAGGAGAGGAGCATAGAGAATTTGAAGAATGGAAAGAAGAGACTCTGAGCTGATTTAACCACAGATCTTTTGTTTTTCCTCTAGGTAGTGACATCAGAAGTCCCAGAGTTTAAATCCATGGTGTGTTTTCTTTCTTGCAAAAGTTATTTAGTACCTTTGAGCTATAGTTTCCTCTTCTATAAGATAGGACACATCAACAGATTTCTCACGGGATTGTTGTGAAGTTTAAATGTATACAAATTTCCAGTCACATCCTAGGTGTTCAAGAAGTAACAAAACAGCAAAAACAAAATACGATACTCAGATAGTAAACAAGCTAGGAGTCGTAAGAGTTAGGCCAATTCATGTATTACTCTTTCCCCTTTCTCCTAATGAGTTCAAAGTATTTTTTCATATGTTAATTTCTTTTTATCATTTGGAAATATTGGACTACTATTTTCAGCTATGTATTTATTATGACACAATTTCAGGTCAGCAGAGCAATTTGGACTTCTGATGCAGTGCACTCTTTTACATTATCTGTTACTTTATCATCCATTAATAAAGCAGTTTTTGTGAAAGATATCACATAGCAAATTATAAGATATTTTAAGAATGTAAAATGGAAGTTTATGGTTAAAATCTGTAATATTTTGTGGGCCCACACTATCAGTGGATCTAGGATTTTGAAGATCATGAATATTCTTTCCAGTGTTCCATAGTCATGTATTCTAATGTTTTACATCCACATATAAATCATTAGTTTGGTTCAACTTCTTCAAAATATCTTTTTTCCTTATTTAATTGCATTCCTTTCTTTCATTTCAGTCCTGAAACCCTATTTTCTGTAGACAACAAACACTAAGTTGTTTTAGTGCAAATAAGAAAACTGGAACTATTTCCAAAACAGTGCAATTGATTCCAGAAAAGTGCAATATGTTTCCTTGTTGACAGGAGTCACATGGGATGGATTGCAAATGTACCCTCACCTAATACATCAAAGAAAACTAAAAGCCTTCAAAGAAAGGCAGGAAGGAAGAAAGGAGAAAAGATGAAAAGCAAAAAAGGATAGGAAGGAGTGGCTCACACCTGTAATCCCAGCAATTTAGGAGGCTGAGGCAGGAAGATTGCCTGAGCCCAGAAATTTGAGACAACCCTGGGCAACTAGTGAGACCCCATCTCTAAAAAAAATTTTTTTTAATTTGCTGGGCATGATGGTGCACAACTGTGGTCCCAGTTACTCAGGAGGCTGAAGCAGGAGGACCATCTGAATTCAGGATTTTTAGGCTGCAGTGAACTATGATTGTGCTACTGCATGCCAGCTTGGGTGATAGAGTGAAGCAGAAGGAAGGAAGTGGGGGGAGGGTGGGAGAGAGGGAGGGAAAAGTTCCTACCCTAGAACCTTGGAAATGTGTCAAGATAGACAAGGTCATTTACCGATTATTGTTTCTGAGAGCTGAAGGTTTCACTTTAATAAGATTGTCCAAGTCTTGGCTGTTTCAAAGAAAGAGAGAAAAAAAGTTCAGTTTAGTAACAGATTTTACGGTTGTGCTAGGTCAATAAAGCAACATTATAAATCAACTCCGTCGAGGGCAACAGACAAAAACATGAGCTGACTGCTTCTGTTTGATTACCTCTGATGGTGTCTGATTACTGCAGGGTTTACTTTGATGACGTCATCAAGATCCTGGCTTCTTTAAATCAAAAAATAAAAAGAAAGCAAGTTAATTATGAAGTTCTTTTGGTAATATCCTTAAGGCTATAAATCTGCTTGAAGTAGTAATAATATTCTTTCTGACCAAAACACATTAAAACAACATAGTTTTATTACCTTTGGTTGTTTGTGAAATTTTCAGGATTCACTGTGATGAGTTTATCAAGAGCTTTTTTTCTTTAAGTGGAAAAAATATTAAAGCAACTTGGGTTAGAAATAATCACAGGTTTAAGATAATTGGAAATGGAAAGAAAGGATAATAGTAGGAGACATTGTTTTGGTATTGACTAACCATGTAATATGTTTTCTAATCAATTTAGAGGATGAAGAATTAAGCCTTATCAGAAGAAAACGTACTTTAATTTTATACAGTTTATTGTCAGAGACTGTCTACAAGGATCTGCCGGTTAAGTTGCCATAGCAAACATCTGGTAACTGACAATTGTTCATTCAGAATGTATTAACATTATGAAGACACCAACTGATTTTAATATCCTTATTTTCAAAATCAGGTTCACCAACTAAGGATATCAATTTTTTAAAAAAATAAATTCTAAAATGGGGATTATTATTATTATTATTTATTTATTTATTTATTTTTTTGAGATGGAGTCTCACTCTTGTTACCCAGGCTGGAGTTCAATGGCGCGATCTCGGCTCACCGCAACCTCCGCCTCCTGGGTTCAGGCAATTCTCCTGCCTCAGCCTCCCGAGTAGCTGGGATCACAGGCACGCGCCACCATGCCCAGCTAATTTTTTGTATTTTTAGTACAGACGGGGTTTCACCATGTTGACCAGGATGGTCTTGATCTCTTGACCTCATGATCCACCCGCCTCGGCCTCCCAAAGTGCTGGGATTACAGGCGTGAGCCACCGTGCCCGGCCAATTATTCTTAATATAAGATTTAGCAAAGAGAATTCCAGCAATCCACCAAAATTTTGGGCTTTTTTCCTCTGATGACTGAAAAACTGATTTAAACTCAGCTGTTCATAGTAAAATGAGTTACATACTCTGAAAACTGTCCATTCTCATTTGAACCTCTTCCTGATTCTCTTCTCCGCCACAGAACAGTATTTCCTCCCATATAGTTTGCTATAATTCACTGCCCCAGCATAACACCTTGTTTGAAGTGTCAGAAAGTAGTGATTATTCAAAGTGTTCCTCTGAACCCACTTTAATACTTATTCAGAGAAATACATGGCAGTTACCATGGCAAGAGATTGCAGAACTGACAGCACCTGCTTTCAGTACCATCTGGGACATAATAGACATGTGCTTCTCCCCACAAAGGTGCTTTTTCCTTATATTAAAATGAAATACATTTTATTCATCAAAAAAATGATGCAAGAGCATCATTTAGAGATGAATCATCAGAAGGTCTGAGAAAAGGTCTGCCTTTTCTTCCCCAGCCCTCAACATTTCCATAGAATGTTCAGGCTTCATTTAGTTTGATTCATTCCTCATGGTTCTCATCTCTCCATAGTCTATGGGAAGGCTGTAACTGAAATTTCACTGTTTCGAGCTTTCTTCAATGATAATATTCTCAATTGAACATAAGAAATTGATATCTATAAATACTATTAAAGTAATAATTGACATATGAGAACTAACTATCCACAACATCACTTCCTCATGAAAATTGATGGCAAAATCTGTCATAAAACTAAACTGTGTCAGAAATACACAGTTTTAAAATGAGGTTAATTTCACATATTATTTGAAAAAATACAAAGATAAAACTTTGTAGACAGTATGTTGAAAAGCCACACTTTAAAAAATACATAAAATTAATCACAATATTGATCAGTGTAACTACAGACAATATGTATGTGTCAGCATAATTAAAAGTAACATAAAAAAACAAAAAAAAACCCACAAGAACTTACTTTTTACTGTCCTACTGAGCATAAAAATTTGATGTACCTAATAATTAGAACAATGATATTCCAACCACTGTTACATAAAGCCCAGCCTAATACTGTCTTTTACAGACAGACAGACACACTCACAAACACAAAGACCTAAAGTTTATAAAATAATGTCCTTACTTCATAAGAACTCTCATATTTTCGGTTCCGTTCATTCTATTTAATTAAGGGAAAAATGCTGATTGCCCTGAACTAAGTTAATTACAAGACCCTTTAATGGGTTGCAACCCACATTTGAGAAACACTAGCTTAGAAAACATAAATATGTGCTATATTCTACCACCACTCCTTATAAAGGCAACCCTGGGTGTCAGGAAAACAAAAATCTCAGGAACAGCCCGGAATTGCTTTGATTGACCATAACATGCAATTTTTGAAAACAACAAATACGCAGAATTTTTTTCAGGCCCTAGATCCTGCAAAGCAATCATATCCAAATTTTATCCAGGAAAATGGAACACTTTTTCTCTCAAGTTACTGTTTTTATTTATTTAGCTTTAAGAATGTTGTGGGGATACATTAGGATATTTAGGTTATTATTACTTTCATGCAGTTTAAAAGCTGTGAAGTGTTTGCAATCATTTGCACATTTGTGCCACTGTAATCTGTGAAGTACCGTTTCAAGTGACCCTGTGAGAACAGTAAAAAACACCTCTGGCCATCCCACAGCAAGAGCAACAATCCTATTTATATAGCCTCTGCTATTTCCTGAGGTGCTTAGTTAATTTTTATATATTTTAAGATCTAAGTCTGCATGCTGTTGTAAAGACTAGGCATTGGACTGGGAGTTAGAAAATCCCACAGATGACTATGACATTTTTGCCCCTGGTCCCAGTGTTCTCATCTGTAAATGAGGAGATTGGATTGGATAATCTCCAGGGCTCTGTCCATCTCCAAACATCTCCTCCTAGGATTCCATGAATATGAATTTTACTGCCTCTGTGTTTATTAGTTAGCTCTTCCATATCACTCCTTTTTTAGAATGCAACTCATTGACAATATATTCTATATTCAGCAAGCAGTACATGAATGCTCCAAAATGTTATAAATTAAACTGACAACCTATTATTGTCTTGGAGTAACATCTCTGTGCCCCTGGTACATAATTAGCTTTAATCTATGTTAATTGCCTGTTGTTAATAAGATGGAGTTTGTCTACTGAATTCTCTTTTTGGCTTCTATAGCCTGTAATTATACCTAGTGTATAAGTAATGATACCTTGTGGTAAGCTGTGAATCCAGCAGGTGCTCAGTAATTATTCACTGCCTAAGAGATCACAGAACTACTATCAGTCTTCCACTAATTTTTTCTGTGACCCTGGTCAAATCACTTAACCTTTCTGAATCTTAATTTCTTCTTCTGAAAAATGAGTAGATTCATCTGGAACACTGGTTTTCAAAATTATTCAAACTACTGGGCCAACATATCCTAAGACTCCTTCCCTCCATCTCTAAAATTTTACGATTTGTATACATACCAACAAAACTTAAAAAGGGAAACCACATTCTTAAGATACAACTATATATAAAACAGTAATGTATCATGACACTAAATCTTCCTTTAACAATAGTCAAAATGTGAGTTTCATTATCTTACTGACATTACTTCAGAATTATTAAATTTTAGGTCTATAACCTCACTGAGCACAGTAAACCTCTAAAGAATAATGAACCTCATAAAATTTCCACTGGCTACCAGAAAGCTCTTCTAAAATGAGGTAAATGATATTGCTAATGATTAGTTTAATGGAAGTATCTAGGTCTTTTTAATAACTATCATTAATACATTGTTATCAATTTCAAAGACAAAAGTATTAATTTCAATACCACACAAACAAAACAACAAAACATCAACAGTTCCTAGACTGTGTTCCTTCTTGCCCATTTCTCACATTGCTCCGTTCAGTTGCTTTACCGGAGGCTTAGAGAAGTGAAGGCGCTGCCATACATTGTTTTCAGCTGCCTCTCTTTCTTGCAATTAACAAATATTGGGACATCTAGGTTTTCACCTGTGATGATAGTTTGAGATTTATATTTAACTTTCCCATAGAATAATTCTACATTGTTTATATTAATATTGGGTTTACTTAAGGAGAAACAAAACAAAAATCACATCCATCTCTTACCCATCAGTGTTTTTGACAGCTCTGGGGCTGACATTAGTACGTTCATCAAGACCTTTTTCACTGCTAAAACAAAATTAGAGGAAATCAGCAAATTTTATGCTGGCATATATTTTTTGTTTTGACAGTTGTAAATCAGTCACTAGAATCCTAATGTAAAAAGTAGTAAGTTTACTGAGTTTCTAATTGATATGTATTAGTTATCATTTTTTTAATCCTCAAAACAACTCTGTGACATCAATATTATCACCCCCTCCCCACTTATAAACAAAGATAAAGAGATAAAGAAAAAGAGAGATTAAAGGCACTCCCTGGTGCCAGATACCTAAGAAGCAGCTGAGGTTGAACCAAAATTCCAACCACAGCAACTGGACCCCAAATTCCACACTCCTTCCCCCAACACCCTCCATCTCATAGTCATAACAATCTCTTACATCCACACAATGCTTTTCACCAACATTATCTTCACAATTATTCAATGAGTGATAGCTTGGGATTTCTCTGCCATGCTTTTATTAACTTTTGTCCAATGTTACTGGACAAAAGTTTTGTCCATTAATTGATTAGTATAATGGATCTTAATTTCTCAAGAACAGAAGTAAATTCAGTGTCATGCAAGAATATTCTAATCAAGCATAAGAATATTATGTTGTCAGTTTTCTCACAAGTCATTTAAATAATAATCCCTGGGTTTGTGAGAGAACTGAAAGCCAATATTTACTCATTTATTCAGTTTTATGAACTTGTAATTTATCATTATTATAAATTTATGATTATAATCTAGTTATGCTATTATTGTGTCAAAGGAATTTCTCAAGTAGCAATTACACAGAATTAGCTCCCATATAATGAAATTAATAAAAGCAACAATAGAAAAATCTATCAGCATTATTACACAACATGTTCTCATTTTTTTATGTCCCCTTTCAAAATGTCTTTAGCCAAATAATCTTATTTTGGGGCATAAATTGGAGACTTGCTAAGAAGTCTTCAATAATCTTAATACATTTACCTTTTGTTTGCTGAAGGGATCACTTTGACAAGATTGTTCAAGTCTTGATTCCTAAAAAAAATGTAAGTTTCAATAGCTAAGTCAACTAAAATCAATAATTTGTATATTTTTAGCCTTATGTAAAAACAAGTGCTACTGTCAATTTATGTATTGCATAAATTTGTATAAATGATAATTTACTTTCATTTTATTCTTGTTTCTTTCAAGTCAACTTCAAAGCAGAATTATTCCTAAACTCTTTATTTTACATAAAGTGTGACAGAATTAGACCATTTAGAATATTTTCTGGAGGTTATAAGTGAGAGAAAATATAAAATTATTCATTATTTCCATATGTTCCTTGTTTCCCTTCTTCCAAACTAAACCACAAAAACTGACATTATTTGTTAAAAAAAGAAAAAGAAAACAGAGTTATTTTCTAAAGTTAACATATATAATATAAATATATAATATCACACTACCCCAAGATATTAAATCACTTCAGAATCACACTTTATGCAAAGCTGGATTAGAGTAAGCAAGGTTTCAGTTTGTATAATCTGTGTTTTTATCCTAAACACTCAAATAGGCATTCATAGCTCTAAAGAGATGCTGCCGTAATCATGGTAACGATACCAACCCTGACACCAAAAGACCTGAATAGGAAGCCTAATTTGATACACTTTATTATTGGACAATGTGTTATATATCCTGGAGAGAAAATAATTGAAAAGACTTGTATCTTGACTAATCTATAGGTTCATTTTATCATGTGAGCATTCTTCCATATAAATTATTATATTCTATTACATTGAACTGTTTAAAATTGCCATTTTCTTGGTCAAAAATACTTGAATGTCAGTAATTTCATAAGATTCAACCTCCCAGGAAAATGAATTTGCTATCTTCTTCACACTGAGTAGTGCTATGGGGATTTAACAATGAAGAAAAAATTGTAAGAGTAATAATAATACTAATAGATAATATGTAATAAGCACTTGAACACTATGAGCATAATCACATTTAATTTTTTAGTAATGCATGAATAAATTAACTCTTATAATTCTGATTTTACGTATAAAAAAGCTGAGGCTTAAAGGCGGTTAAGTAATTTGTCCAAGACTACACAGCTACCAAAAGGTTCTCTGAAGTCAAAAATCTTAGCACCAAGTAAGAGAAACAGACACACAACCAAATACAGGGCAGCGTGTGGCTACCAAAATACAACCTCAAACATTATAAAGGAAAGATCATGAATAATCAGGCCATCTACACCTTTAGAAACTAAGTCATCTTGGGAGAGGGAAAAGACAATTGTCTTTCACTGAATCTTAACCTGTAATGTAATTATATGGTCTCTAGATTTTGCGTCTGTCCCTCAATAGTAAAAATAAAGTTGTATTAATATATTCTAAATCAGTGGGAGGAGTAGGCTATATTTTAGAATCCACCTCAACTACACTCAAATTGGACTCTCTTCGCCTGCCCAGACAAAATACTATGTACTCTAGGGGTCAGCAAAATATGCCCCTCAAGCTAAATCCAACTTGCAGCCTGGTTTCATAAATAAAGTTTTATTGGAACACAGCCATGCCCATTTGTTAACAAGGTACTTATGACTGCTTTCACACTATTGGCAGAGATGACTAGTTAAAAACAGAGACAGTTTTGGCCCCTGAAACCAGAACTATTTACTATTAGCCCTTCAAGAAAAAGTTGCTGACCTCTAATCTAGTCTAAATAAGCTCTGTTCAATAGCCACATACTGTAAAATAGACCATATTCCAATAAGCAAAGTAAGATAGAAAATTATCTTGGTATCTTTTATGTCTAACTCATGTTCAAATTCATATAACAATATACATTTACAAGTTGATGGTTCTGTTGTTCATCTTTATTTACTTAACATGATATGTCTTAGAGAAAATTCTTTCTATAAAGGACAAATGTCATTCTTTTATCAACGAACTGAAAATAATTTTTTTAAATGACTTCCCAACTTTAAGAATTGTTTGGGTGATAGGCAATAAGAAGAGAGGGAATACATGATGGAGGAAGAAGGAGGAAGAACTTTTTTATCATATGAAGACCTTTCTTTAGGCTACTTAGATCTGAGAAATTGTTGGGATTATGTTTTGTCTCATGAGGAATCCCCATTAATTTTTAAGGAAATTCTAAGCAGGGAGGACAAATCTCATACTGGTAAGAGATCATTCCTATATTTCAAGGAATTCTCTCTCCCATGGCCAGAGAACCTTGAGCAAGTGCTTGAACACCAGATTTCTGACACAGGAGTCGTTGATTTGGGTCCCATCATTGGTTGTCTCTAAGGTGGGACAATGCAATTCATCATATTTTAAAGTTGATTAGAAAAAAAAGGGGAGAAATAGAGCGTTCCATAAACCTTACCCTTGCTTAGTTCTGTTTCTTTCAGGAGCCACTTTGATGAGGTTGCCGAGACTCTGGTCCCTTAAAAACATAAAAAACCAGATTAATGGTAGATTTATATCGAATGGTATCAAGTATTTGTTAAAACTGAGAAATACTTTTATTAAAAATATTTATTTACTGCATTTTATGTTTTCGGGTACATGTGAAATATTTGTTAAAATAATAAAATTAGAGATCATCTCAGAGGGCTGGGGATTTTCAGTGTTGACTATGAATATACATATAGGATCCTAATTAAAACTGGAGAGAAATAATGAATAAGAACTTTTAGAAAATGTTTGATGTGCCAGGCCAGGCACTCTTCTTAGTGATTGACATGATTTGTCTCATTTAATCCTCACACCAGTCCTATGACATAGGAAGTATTATTATTCCAGTTTCATAACGGGAATGACTGAGACACAGAAAGCTTAAGTAATTTTTCCACATGCCTAGTGGTAGCAGAGTTGTGGTTTAAAGCTAGGTAATCTCGCTGCAGAATGCCTGTGCCTTACCATGACACCAAACATCTTACTGGAACTTAGTAACTGAATTAGCCTTAGGAGAGTTGAGAGAGCTGCTGGTGCATTTCCTCACTTTGAGGATGAGAAACTGAAGCCCAAACAGAAGTGACTAGTTCAAACACACACATGCAAGAGGAACAGAAGCAGGCCTAGACCCACAACTATGGGGTCCAATCTAGTTCTCTTTCCCCTCTACTGTGTCAACTCCTCTGCTTAAGAAAAATCATAAATCAATAAACAAAAATGTCCCGTTCATTCTGGGAAAACAACTATATTCCTGATTAGTCAAAAAGTACCTTCATTGTATCAGAAATTGGTTGACTAAAATTTTTAACATTTCAGATGTGAGGTAGGCAGGGTTACATGGCTTTTCTCAAAGGATTGTTGGGTTCACCATCAGTCATTTAATCATTTCAATTAAAGCTGAAATGATGCTTTATTTATACTTCTAGTCATTGGTTACTATGAAAAAAAAAGGGAGATTACTAAATCTTACCCTTGGATACTTTTTTCTCTTCCTGGATTCACTTTGATGACGTTATTAAGGTCTTTGGAACTTCAAACAAAATGCAAAAAACATGATAAATAAAAATGGAATTAATTGGCTGTTTTGATTTCAAGTATATTTGTACTTAAGAAAATTTTTACTATTAAGTTTTGAGAGAAACTGATACCAGTCTATGCTCTTAATTTAAAATACTAAAATTTGTGACCTCTTACCAATCGTTGGTACACTGATGTAGTTTCTCATTTACCCCCAAATAAAACCATAATTAGGGCAAGACTCCATTTAAAAAAAAAATAAAAAAATAACAATAATTTGCTAAAACCTCTCACCTGGTTCCCCTAAGCATTCCATCTAATGCTACAGCTAGAACTAAACTGTTTTCTTAATAATTTCCATTTATAATATCCTTTTATTTTAAATGATTTGATACCCATTATTTCATTAGTTTCTAACAACTATCAAGCGACAAATAACAAACATTATTATTATTATTTGACACAGTGTCTGGCTCCGTCGCCCAGGCTGGAGTGCAGTGGCTGGATCTCGGCTCACTGTGACTTCCACCTCCCGGGTTCAAGCAATTCTCCTGTCTCAGCCTCCCAAGTAGCAGGGACTACAGGTGCACTCCACTATGCCCGGCTAATTTTTATATTTTTTGTAGAGATGGGGTTTCACTATGTTGGCCAGGTTGGATCTGAACTCCTGACCTCAAGTAATCTACCCACCATGGCCTTCCAAAGGGCTGGGATTACTGGGATTGCTAAACCTCCATACCTGGCCAAACAAACACTATGATCCTCATTTTATAACTAAGGAGGCTATGGCTCTGCATTCAAGGGACGTGCTCAAAGACACTAAGCTGCTAAGTAATGGAGTTCAGACTTTCTGATCCCAATCCAAAGGCTTTTCAACACATCTTCTTTCCTGAGTGCCACAAATGGATGGGGAACGGGAAGGAAGAAAGGTAAGACGTAATCCTCACCCTTGGTTACTTCTGTTTACTTCAGGAGTCAGTTTGATGAGATTATCGAGGCTCTGGCCCCTTTAAAACATTGAAGAAATAGGTGAGATTGACAACACGCAGCAATGGTAGACTGACAACAAGAAGATAAAACTATTCATTAAAACTCAGAAGCAGTGTAAAAATTCATTGAGATCGTGGCAAGGAGTTGAAGATTGAAGATCTTGAAAGGTGGCTATGCAGAAGAATGTAGGGATTTATACACCTCTGAAATTCACTGAGACTCAGGGAGACAGCATTTTAGTCTCAGAGCCATTTGGCCACTAGCAAGTACTGCACTAGGATTCTCTCTATTTATCTGCACTACATGCTATAATTTTAGCTTTTGCCAGGTGCACAAAACATTTTTGTAACTTAGTCTATATACTTGCTTCGTGAAATGTTCCAGAAGGGATACTCTTTATCATCCTCCAACATTTGGAACTTTAAAACCAACTTTGGAGAATCCATATTTTGTAAAATTGGCATTCATTAGCCAATTTTCTATCAGAAAACTGTATTAAGATTCATACACCAATTTGTTAAAAATCTATGATATGCAACCCAGGAATTGCTTCTGGTACTTAAAACGGTGTGTTAGAACTATGAATTTTGACTAGTTGTTTTTGGCAACCAACAATAGGAATGTTAAAATCGACAGAGTTCTGAAACATTCTGAAATGTAAGATATGCCAAGTGTAATAAGAAGTGCAACACTGGCTGGGCATGGTGGCCCATTCCTGTAATCCCAGCATTTTGGGAGGCCAAGGCAGGAGGGCTGCTTGAGCCCAGGAGTCCAGGCCAGACTGCGCAACATAGCAGAATCCTGTCTCCATAAAAAACATTTTTTAAATTAGCCTGGCATGTGGCTCCAGCTACTCAAGTGGCTGAGGTGAGAAGATCCCCTTGAGCCACTGCACTCCAGCCTGGGACAGAGCAAGGTCCTGTCTCAGAAATAAAATAAAATAAAATAAAAATTTCCACCCAGTCATCGAAAACATTTTAGTAGTTTCTTGTTACTCTTTAGCAGAGCTTGGTTTCTGATCTTAGTGGAATTTTGCTTTTCTCTCTGCATTTACATGTGTTTTCTGCATACCAGTAGCAGGAATAAATGCTGCTCTGATCTACAGAGGATGCCATGTAGGGAAAAGAACATCCACAGGATGGCCCTTTAGCAGCGCTTCTCCACACTCTGTGATTCTACTAAAGCTATATCCAGAGGCCCAAAGGTTTTGTCTATACAATATCAAGGATACAGATATTTGGAAGCAACTAGATGTCAATTCAAGTCCTTTATTTGTATCCAGATGTCTGAGAATGTGATACACAGACTTTGTTATGCAAATAATGAAACAATTATCCCCACAGAAGCAATCACTCTACTCCAGATGCCCCTTGTTGATTTCTGCCTAAATGAAGTATGTGGGATTTGAAGACCAGTGACTGAGAAAAAAAAAAAAATTCCCAGAATGCTATTTCCAGACTTGGATACTCAAAAAAATAACAGAACAGTAAGCATTATAACTCCTCCCTTTGTGTTCATTGTGGAGTTTGCTTTGACTATATTGCTAGGACTTGATCTCTTTAAACATCAAATAAAGCACATAATAAAATAAGTTTATTTAAATTTCATAGTTCATTAAGTCCACGAAGAAGAGTGGGATGATTAATGTAGTAATGTACTAATTAACCTAATAATGTAAAATAATATGTGAGCTTAATTATGTAAAGCAATACCTCATACCATATATATCTTCGGTGTTATGGGTTACTTCAATCCACACTTTTGGAAAGCCTACTATGGGCCAGACCCTGCCCCAAGCTAGGGATAAATGTGAACAACACAGACACAGGATTAGACCTCAAGCAGCTTCTATTCCACTTGGGAAGAGGCAGGCAATATACAATTAAACAAATAAATGAATACCACACTTCCAAATAACAATATATGTTATGAGAAAATTTAAAAAGAGTGGTTGGTGCCTGCAGTGCTGGGGTCGGGGAAGGGGACAGTGACTTAATTATGTTCTGTGGTTAGAAATGACCTGTTTGAGAAGGTAATAATATGGGGATAGAGCATTCCAGGAAGTGGGAACAGCAAATGCTGAAGGCTTAAGGCAAGAATGAGCCCGTAATAGAAAAATATCAGCTTGGCTAGGCTTTACTGAGAAATTAATTGGCCTTTGCTCTATTTTTAAAAGATCCACAGACTTCACTATGTTCAGAAAAAGGAAATGACAACTACTATCCACAGAAGCCCACAGGAAGTACACACATACAAATATAGACATATGTGCTGCACATATGTGCTGCACATATGCTCACACACACAGGTGCATACACACGCATGTACATATGCACTCATATAAACACAAAAGCACATGTGTATATTTATACATATACTCATGAAAACACAAGCATCAGGCATAAGTATACAATAACACACGTACAATGTACACACAAGCAATGCACACACTCATGTACATGTGCAATCACCTGCATATAGACACATGCATGTATACATGCAATCACAAACACACAAGGATACATGCACATGAGTGTACAAAAACATCTGTTTGCATGCATATACACATGAGCAGAGGGATGCCCACATATACACACACCAACATATGAAGAAAATAAGTCCTGATTGGAAATTTTTTTTTTTTTTTGCGACAGAGTTTCACTCTTGTTACCCAGGCTGGAGTGCAATGGTGCAATCTCAGCTCACCGCAACCTCCGCCTCCTGGGTTCAGGCAATTCTCCTGCCTCAGCCTCCTGAGTAGCTGGGATTACAGGCACACAACACCATGCCCAGATAATTTTTTGTATTTTTAGTAGAGACGGGGTTTCACACCATGTTGATCAGGATGGTCTTGATCTCTTGACCTCATGATCCACCTGCCTCGGCCTCCCAAAGTTTTGGGACTACAGGTGTGAGCCACCGCACCCGGCCGGAAATATTATTTTTAACAAAAATTAGAAAACATTTCCAAGAAAACAGATTTTTCTTGGAAAGTTAAAATTTGACATTTGAACACTAAATTATGAAGGAAATATAACTTACCTGAATCCTTATTATTGCAATAATTACTTGTATCTACTATGTGCCAGGCATGAGAATTTTATGATTCCTCTTTTGTAAATGAGTACATTGAGGCACAGAGACACAGTTAGCAAGTGACAGAGCCAGAATATGAACCTAGGTTTTTTAGATTCCCTGCTCACATTCACTACCTCAGGTTACCTCCCTGAACCACCCAGGAACTGAAGGACATCAATGCTTTCTTCTCCATCTACTGATTGCAAGCTTGTGCAAGCCTCCAGTTCACTGGGTTGCTGTGCCTCTGACCATGCCACACCTACACAAGCAGGGCAGGCGTGACAGTGGGCACCACAGCTTTTCAACTAGCTGAGCCCTTCCCTTGCCAACTGGGCTGCAGGCATCCATGACACATTTTTGGATTGACAAATAATATCATGTACTTAGCTAATGAAATGGAAAAGAATTCAAGGGAAACCACATGAAATTATGTGGTACACTGTTTCCAGCAACATGCCAACAAACTCAGTTTCAAAAATATTCCATCTGCCTTATAAAAAATAAAAAACAAGAAGACATAAGTTCTCCAGACATACTCGACAACTCATGAGTAGGAACAAAGCACACTTTGTTAAGCTCTTCATCTTTAAATACACACATACTACATGCACATACACACACTACACACAAATACACCACACATGCACATGTAGTTCATACATATACACATCTGCACATGCACTTATACATACACACACATACACTTATACACACATCTATACACACATGTACTTAAACCCACATACCACTGATACACACACACATACACTCAAACACACACACTACTTATATCTACATATATATATTTATTATACACTTACACATACATACATGCACTTATATATAAACACACTATATATTTACGCACATACATTTATACACACATGTACTCACACTCGCATACAAAGAAATAAATCATTTAGTTCAGTAGAGAAGGTCAGCCAAAATTCCCATTTAGTTTCTTAAAATTATTTGCTAACAAACTTCACCCAAGAACAAAATGAAGAAGATTCAGGTGTATCACTTGTACAGAATTACTTAATATAAAGTGTTTAGAGAAAAGAGCTCAGTTTGTTTTGGCTTGAATTCCAATTTACTGACCTGAATATCAACATTCAGAATTCTAATGAGCTTGTAAATGCCAAACAAAGGGAAGGGGGAACTTAAAATGCCTTACCTCCTAATATTTTTATTTGTTTCAGGATCCACTTTAATAAGCCAGTCCAGATCTTGTTTTCTTTGAATGAGAAAATGAATTTTAATGAATAATGCTAAAAATAAAGCACTAATCAGATGAATAATGGCTGGAAAAATTAAGAAGAGGTAAATCTACAGGTTTCATATATCTACGTAAAGTTTTAAAGCTCCAAATGCAAATGAAAATTATTCTCTTACATCTTGAGCTGAAGACCATTTAAGGTTGCTTATTTGTTAGTAATAAATGTGATTTTTGTTTTGTTCTCAGAATGCATAAGTATATGCAAAACTTGTTGTTTAACAAAATCAACTTTGCCTTCAGACACATCTTGTTAGATATATCTTGTATCCAAACAGGCAGCATTGAAATAACATTAAGTTAGATTAAGTTCTACACTGGACCCAGACAGTATAAATGTCTACTCAACAAATGGAATACGATCACCTATTCTGTTTCTAAGTATTAGGAATAATGTTGAGAATCATAATTTAATAATAAAAATCATTTAACAATATTAATAAAGAGAATAAGAATGTATGTTTTCATATAAACTCAGCTATCTACCTAACCCAACCCATTTTAAATATCATTTTCTTCAAAATGAATTTTGGTGAGCAAAAATGGGCAAGAAATAAACAGCTCACATTACCATGTGTCAGGTGTTTTCAGGACCAAATCAGAAAGCCCTTTGATGTAAATTATCCTTAACTTACCTTTATTAATTTCCACAACAGCATTTCGTTTAATACCACATACCAAAAATTACTGATTCACTCCCCAGTGGGAGTGAATCACACAGGCCACGCTATTAAAATACTTTGATACCAAAAAAGGCAGAAGCAGAATCTAAAAGGGACAGGAGGGGACAACAGAAGCACTGTGATTGGGTGCCACCACCATGTCTACACAGCTCTGAACAGGGAACAAAGTGGTAGGAGGTCCTCACTCCACCTGTGTGTGCCGCCTCAGCCCTGCCTTGACCACCTCCTGAGACCACCATCCTTAGAGAATTTGAATTACCAGAGCTTCAGTGATGGCTCACTCCTGGCCGTCTTTGTCATTTTGGAAATACACTTTGAAAATTTTGTCACAACTGTGCATTCTTATAGGCACAAAGAAATTCAATTCAGTCCCTTACCCCTGAAGACAAATCAAAGCCCAAAATCTGGGAGAAAAGTTTGTTTACTATCAAACATTAAGACAATGCTTCAGAAGTTCACAGTTTTATTGAGGGCAAGGAGGGATGGTCCAGTGGCCTATATTTATTGTCTAATTCCATGCTAATAAAATATGGTTATACAGCTAAAAAGCCAAATTGTTTTATCTTCTGATGGATTGACACTTAAAGAAATCATAATCAAAGACATTAATTATTCTTACCCAGTGGCATTTTCATTTCCTTTGGGATTCACTTTGATAGCATTATCAAGGTTTTCACTTCTTTAAAAAAAAAAAGTGTATCAGTTTCAAAACATTCCTATAATATTAGACACACACTTCCTCCATATTCCCAATGATTAATTCAAGCTTCTGGAGACAATTATTATACTGATATTAAATTCACTTTTAGTATAAAAATTGCCTATCAATAATATAGTTTAATCCTTAGGATTTTATTGGGCTATATGTAAATGTATATTTAGATGGAATACACTGTAGACTCTTTGAAGTGAAAATCAGGGCACCAGGGATTAGACACAGAAGAGAGAAGCCAAACATAAAGATGCGATGCCCTCAATATCGCTTAATTAATATGAGAGAAAATAACCAACAGTTAGAGACATCTGATCAGTCCTCACCTTCTGCTAGTTTTATCCATCCTGGCATTCACTTTAACAACAGATTCGAGATCTTGTCTTCTTTGGAAAAAAACACCAAAACTTGTCAGTTAGGTTAGAGTATAATTTTTTCCAAAATCTATATCATCAAGAATGTCCCCGAATATGGTGTCAGGTGTTTTAAGGACCAAGTGACCAGAAAGCCCTTTGATGTAATTATCCTTAACTTACTTTTATTAATTTCCACAATAGCGTTGCATTTAAACTAGTCTAAGAAAGTTTAGAAAAGCTTCTCAATGTGGATCTCATTGTGCAATTTTAGCCTTTATATTTCTTAATTTAAATTAAAATTTGACACATCTCTTAATTATTTAAGAAAATATGGAAAAAGATTATGTAGCAGGTTTTCCTGCATCTACTTCAATGCAACTCAATTTTTATACTACACTCCCATTCTTAATGAGGTATAAAAAGCTAATCTGAAAAAAAAGCCCCATCAAGGTACGAGATTTACTTACCCTTTCTCATTTTTGTCAGTCTTTTGATTGACTTTAATTGGATTTCCAAGGCCTTGGGTTCTTTACAACATTGGGGGATAAAAAGAGAGACTGAGACAAGAGCAACTCAATGATATATTCAGAACCTCATAATGACAACAGCAAGATTTCCCACAAGAGAAGTAAGATGCAATCAGTGCCTAAAGGGTCAGAAGTCCTTAGAAATATTGAATTCAAGTGGCTCTATCCATCATACAAATGCATAAGTGGCAGCCTGAGACTAAGATGCCAACCACTACCCAGTTATGATAGAGTCAACTTAAAAGTTTTGACCAAGGTCTTGGCTTTTGCTTCTTGAAGGTGGGTTGGTGGGAGGCTGATTTCAATACATATATTGAGGTATTATCTTATTTAAGCATGAAAATCAATACATCAGGGATGGAAATCAATTGATCAATATTTTAAGTCTAAATACTTCGAGAATTCAGACAAGTCATTGCTCCCAAAAAGTTGGTGGATGTGTTTAAAGGGTCTGAAGTCACCTTGGTAAAGTCAAAATAACTCTTATGGTCCCAGCGCTTTATATAAATGAAATAAAACTTTCACATGCCAATGACTAAAAAGTATTAGAGAACATGAAAGCTAATCTCTTTAAATTCCTCCAAGTTTCCAAGTGTTATGCTTTGCCATTTTCATCTGTCTCTGATTTCACTGTGATAATACTGTCGACATTTTAAGTTATTTCAGTGTGAGAAAGAAGGAAGGGAGGAAGAGAAGAAGGAAAAAGAACTAGGACTTTTTCCCTACTGTGCAGACAGGATCAGTTATTCCTGCATCAAAACTCAGTTGTTATCAAATTATCCTAGATTACACGTCTTTTTCCTAACCCACAAAATTATGTACTTGTGATGCGTATCCTACTTTTCCTACTGTCTTCCACTATTGCACAACTCTCCACAGTGCTTTTAAAAAATATCTGGAATCTCATCTATTCCTAGAAAGCTCATATACCCATGTGCAAAAAAAAAAAAAGACTTTTTCAACTTTATCTATTCCACATTTGGAAAAAAAATTGCCTGTAATATGTGGGCATGTTTACATTATAATCATATGCTGCTAATAAGCTTTCAATGACTCTGTGACGGTTACTGCAAACATCCTTCATCATAGAGACTTTGTTAAGTGCTCTGCGTCAGAAAGGGTTGAGAACGCATCTGCCAAGATTGACTTGGAAAGCTAGAATGCCATTCTGGGCATGGGTTGGCACAAATAAATGGTTTTTAAAACTAACTGTGACAATAGAAATAATTCTCATGTTAGAAAGGCAAATTTCATGACTAACCAAATACAAAGTAAACAGCCAAAATGGAAGGCAAAAATTGTAGAGATCTCATAAATCCTTGCCCTTTGTCATTCTTGACTATTCTGGGATTTTCTCTAATGAAACTGTCACAGCTTTGGTTTCTTTCAACAAGAAAAATAGTATCAGTCATATAAGTAAATTATGTAATATATCGGTCAGGCTACAACTATACAACTTTTAAATGTTATCAGTTCAGTTACTGATTATTAATTAACCCATTGTATAATTTAAAATAAATAAAAGCATAGTTTTTCATTTTAAGATATTTACAAATACGTATGAAGAGATATACATAGGAAATGACTCAACCAAGATTTCAACTGAGAAGTGCCTTGATAAACTCTAAAGACATCAGTAGTGGCTGGACACAGTGACTCACACCTGTAATCCTAGCACTTTGGGAGGCCAAGGTGGGCAAATCGCTTGAGGTCAGGAGTTCAAGACCAGCCTGGCCAACATGGTAAAACCCCATCTCTACTAAAAATACAAAAATTAGCTGTGCGTCTTGGTGGGCACCTGTAATCCCAGCTACTAGGAAGGCTGAGGCAAGAGAATTGCTTGGACTTGGGCAGCAGAAGCTGCAGTGAGCTGAAGTAGGGCCTCAGAGCAAGACTGTCTTAAAAAGAAAAAAAAAAAAAAGAAGAACTTCAATGGTGAGGGGCTAAGCTCCCAGAACCTAAATGCCTTATTATAAATGTATTTAGTTCATAAAACAACCTATTTTCCACTACCTATAATAGCTAGTTGTGTTTCTTTCCATTTTAGATATAAAGGAAAACTGGGAGATCATCTAGGTCATAGCCTCCATTTTATAGAATGAGGAAACAAAGATCTCCAGAAATTATACAACTGGCCCAGGGTCACCCAGACTGATGTTGGGGACAGAGCCAGCACCAAGACATACACTATCTCTGGAAGTCAGTCTGAGGCCTATTCCACTAGCCTGCCTGACCCTTGTCTTAAGCAGGAAGTCTCCTCCAGAAAAGAATATACTGTCTGGGATTCAATCAAAATGGTCTGTCTTCATAAAATCTTACCCTTTGCCATCTTTATCTGTCCGGGTACTCACATAGATGAGACTTTCAAGGCTTTTGGCTCTGAAAACACAAATAAATTCACATAAAAGACTGCATATTGAAATGAAATTGTGTAGTATCTTGAAAGGTCAGATGCAATAAACATTCTCCATGAATTGCTTATTTACTCTTATGAATGGAAGAGCAGAAATCCTTCTGGGTAATTATGTCTGAACTAAATGTACAATGCTGAGAGCACTACCCCATCTGCTAGTACATTTCCATGCCAGAGGATACAACCCCCTTGCAGTTAATGTCTGAAGGAATAAGAGGAGCAATCTGCAAGATAAGATTTTCAGATTTGAGACAGATGCACTTACCTTTTCTCTCTTTCATCTACCTTTGGATTTGTTCTGAAGAGACCATCAAGACCTTGATTCCTTTAAATGTATTGATTTAAAAAAACCTGATCAGTGGTAATGACCAATGTTTAACTCTATAAGAACACAGACCAGTTTACATCTAAGATAGGAAATAAAAGCTTGTTGAGGAAGATGAGCTATAATTGTTGAAATAGGTATTTTCATAGACTCAAATTTTAAATTGTAGTGGGACTTAGAGAAAATAAAATAAAAGATATAAACTGGGAATCTGCCAGCCACAATAGGTCCATAGAGGTGTTGCTTGGGTTCATGGAGCATTTCTATCCTTTTAGCTTTAAAGCATGGGCTTTAAAGTGAGCCCATGTTTACAATGAAGGAGAGGATACAGAGAAACCTGGATTTTCAGACTGGGTGTGGTGGCTCAAGCCTGTAATCCCAGCACTTTGGGAGGCCAAGGTGGAAGGATCACCTGATGCCAGGAGTTCAAGACCAGCCTAGGCAACACGGTCCATCTCAAAAAAGTTAAAACTTAGCCAAGCATGGTGGTGGTGCCTGTAGTCCCAGCTACTCAGGAGACTGAGATGGGGGGATTGCTTGAACCCAGGAGATGGAGGCTGCAGTGAGTTAGGATTGTACCACTGTGCTCCAGACTGAGTGACAGAGTGAGACCCGATCTCTAAAACAAACCACAAAAGTGGATTTTCAGGATCTCCTGAAAATGTCCTGCTGTCCTGTAACACTAGACTCACCAGCTGGAGCTGAGCTGAGAAGCAGCTGTGTACTTAGACAGGGCACCTGCTCTCCTTTTGGCCCCAGTTCTCTCACTGCCTGTGATTCATACAGTCTCCTCACTCACACCTGTCTGGCCTCAGTGGGCCTCGGTGGAGTCTCTGACTCCTGATCTAAAACCTCCTCTCCTTATAAGTGAGGAACCTGAAAAGTGGCAGATTTAAGTGATCATTGTTGCCAGAACAGGATATGAAAACACATCTCATGATCCTCAGATCAGCTAATTCATTTGGTATTTACCCTGTTTTCTCCTTTTCTTTGGTCACTGTTTAGTGCATTAGTATGCAAAGTAACAGAGAGCTGGCTTACATCATCCATACCTCAAACACAAGCCTTGACCATTCATTTTTCTCTCTTGACATATTTCAAGTTATACAATTATAACTGATTCAAAACAAGAAGATACAGACTGGGTAACATAGTGAGACCCCATCTCTACAAAAAATTAAAAATTAGCCACGCATGGTGGCACATGCCTGTAGCCCCAGATACTTGGGAGGCTGAGGCAAGAGGATGCTGGAGCCCAGGAGTCCCAGGCCGCAGTGAGCTATGATTGCACCACTGCATTCCAGCCTGGGTAAGAGAGTGACACCCTGTCTCAAAAAATAATAATAAACAATATAACATTAACTACGATAATAAAATGTTTTTTGTAATGGTTAAACTAAAATTATTCCAGAATCAAACCAAACTCTGTTTACATTCTAGTGAATTAATATTTTGGGAAGAGAAAAGTGATTATTTATATAACTGCTTTAATAAACAAATGGAATACGAAAGTCAAAAACACATTCATATTAGTATCTTTAGAATTTAATAACCACTCATCATAACAATGAAATGATGATGATTGCTGCAAGCCTTTATTCAAGATTTCTAGGATATTTTTGACTACCCTGGTATGCGGGTCCTCACACTTAAAAATGAAAAGGCATAAAAAGTCATGATATGCAATTCAGTAATAAAAAGTCAACATTTAAAAATCTTACCTATTCAAGCTTTTGTTCATTTTGATGAGATTATCCAATTCTTCACTTTTGGAAGAGAAGAAAACGTTTAACGTTAGTAAAAACCTTGCCTGGGGTCCAAGGGTAAATTTGCCTTAAAATAACTGAGTTCTCTGAAATACAACACATCTCACTTTTATTATCTGCAAAAATCCTGATGATCCTCAAAGCTCTCTACCAACACCACTTTCTCCAGAAAGCCTTTCCTAGTCCTCTAACTGAAAAGAGTCTTCTGCATTTTTTGAGCCCTTGGAGCATTTGTTTTACTGCACCTCCTTTATGGCAATTCTGTTGCTATACTTTGAGTTACAGCCATTGCACACTGGTCTCACGTTAATGCCCCTACCTCTGCACAGGCACACGTACGCATACCACTTAAAATTCAGAACTGCTGGCTAAGCACAGTGGCTCATGTCTGCAATCCCAGCACTTTGGGAGTCCACGACGGGCAGATCATGAGGCCAAGAGATGAAGACCATCCTGGCCAACATGGTGAAACCCCATCTCTACTAAAAATAGAAAAATTAGATCTGGGCATGGTGGCACGCGCCTGTAGTCCCAGCTCTTCGAAAGGCTGAGGCAGGAGAATTGCTTGAACCCAGGAAGTGGAGGTTGCAGTGAGCTGAGATTTTGCCACTGCACTCCAGCTTGGGCAACAGAGCAAGACGCTATCGGAAAAAAAAAAAAAAAAAAAAAATTTAGAACTGTGTTTTACATCAGCACACTTTCGTTTTTAATACAGCATCTTTCATACACTAGATTCTTAATACCCACTTTTAACTGAATCCACATATAGGTACATTGATTATAGCATTGCACAATGTACTTCCATGCTTAGCTTCTAGAAAACATTTGTTCATCAGTAAATCTGGCTTCCTTCTTGAGTTCTGCGACTTCATTTCCAGGTCAGCTAAATTTGCTATCCTGCTTCCACATTTGAATACTGCAAAACCCTTTCTGGCTGCCGCTTCAGGAGCAACCTATTTAAACTAAATGCTTAGGTTCAGGAATTTTTTTTTTTTTTTTTTTTTTTTTTTGAGACGGAGTTTCGCTCTTGTTACCCAGGCCTAAGTGCAATGGTGCCATCTCGGCTCACCGCAACCTCCGCCTCCTGGGTTCAGGCAATTCTCCTGCCTCAGCCTCCTGAGTAGCTGGGATTACAGGCACGCGCCACCATGCCCAGCTAATTTTTTGTATTTTTAGTAGAGACGGGGTTTCACCACGTTGACCAGGATGGTCTCCATCCCTTGACCTCGTGGTCCACCCGCCTCGGCCTCCCAAAGTGTTGGGATTACAGGCGTGAGCCACCGTGACTGGCCGGTTCAGGAATTCTATTTAAACGCATGGGCCCAATTTTCTTCCCGAATTGGGCAGCCTAGATGAGGTGGGATAAGGGTTTCACCACAGTGCTATTGGGTTTCTTCCTCTAGTTCCCTGTCACAGCATGTCCTTTCTCTAACTTTCCTATTCATGGGCCCCTCCCCATACACACACCTTGCCCCACCTCTCTTGCCTTCCTCAGCAAGTTTTTCTGTTCACAGATCTTCGTTCTCCCTTCTTCCTGTTCTAAAATCACACTCTGCCAAGCTTTCCTAATCTCTCTTTCTTCTCGAGTCATTTCTGGTGTTGACCAAGGGGCTGTAAGACCCATTAACTCAGTAGTTATGCATTCAACCTTCCTAGTTAAGAACACATGGAGTACGATCCAGGATTTATCACTTATTCATTGGTTAAACATGGATGAGTTACCTAACCTTCTGTGGACTCAATTTCCACATTTGTAATATGAGAATACTAATTGTATCCACCTTAGAAAAGATTCAATAAGCTCATGAATATAAAGGACTTAGCACAATGCCTGGCAAGTCACAAATTCTTGATTAATTTGGGCCATTTAATAATTCATGCCCTGTCACCACTTGCTATACTTTTTTATTTAAGAAAAAAGAAAGTTTTTTCACTCTTGTTGCCCAAGCTGGAGTGCAATGGTGTCATCTTGGCTCACTGCAACCTCTGCCTCCCAGGTTCAAGTTATTCTCCTGCCCCAGCCTCCCCCAAGTAGCTGGGATTATAGGCGTGTGCCACCACACCCAGCTAATTTTTGTATTTTTAGTAGAGATGGAGTTCTACCATGTTGGCCAAACTGGTGTCAAACTCCATACCTCAGGTGATCTGCTTGCCTCAGCCTCCCAAAGTGCTGGAATTACAAATGTGAGTCACCACGCTCAGCCTAATAAATGCTCGCTATGCTCATTTTTTATTCCACTTAGAAACACCAAGACTTCATCTTAGGCTTTAAAGAGATGCAGTTGCTGGGTCACTTATGTTCTGGAAGATGCCCAGCACGATGACACTATGGCAAGAATAGCTGCTGAGGACAGTCCTCTTAGAGACCCTAAATTAACAGCCAGTACATAGATTAATCCTTTCAAGCCGTTTTAGGTATCAGTGGTAGAAATAATGCCTGAGAATAAATACTGAAATACAAAAGTTGCTATCTCTGACCAAAAAAAAAAAAAAAAAAGAAAGAAAGAAAAATGACTAATGCTCTACCCCTGTGTGACAAACACTACCCAGTCCCCCAATACAGTGACCCCATTATTGTTTCTTGCTGGAAATTCTACCTGCTAACTCTGAGACCAACAATCTGTTCATGTCCCAAGGAAAAGAGCAACCCCACGAATCCTATGTATTTTAGTCCCAGACTTTTCTGACTGGCATGAGTCACAGTGATGAGATTATCAGGATCTGGAGTTGCTTTATCCAAAGAAAACTGGCATACATCATGAGAAGACACTCTGTGGCAAATTAAATCAAATGGATACTGTGTTCCAAATAAAAATCTTGAGCTTTCAAAATGACTTCACACTGATGAAAGCTTTTGATATTAAGTTTCTCCACTGCATTTGTAACAAATGAAATGCTCTTAATCAGATAGCAGTAACATTCCATTTCACAAAGAGCAGCTCAGATAACTAACAGCCATTTCTACTCCCTGTGGATGGCCCAAAGTAATGATACTCTATGAGGACAACCACGAACATTTTTCCTGATCCCTGTCAAGCAGCAACTTCTCTCTGTGATGAATGTAACCGGCTGTGGAATTTGTGCATTATGGCTAGGGAGCAGGGACAGGAAAGTTAAACCAACTGCCTCTCTCATGGTTTTTATCTGATTTACACCAAACCATAATTTCCCTTCAGAGTCACTCACGTATCTGTTTCTCAGACATCCCCATCACCCACCAAACCACTGTCTAATCTCTATTGGAAACAAAAAATATTACCTGCAACAAAAATAAATCATTAAAATTAGAGACCTAGACACTTCAATGAGAGAAGACATGGAAATGAAACCTTCAGGACAATTTCTATAAACTCCATCTGGATTCAGAGCTATTTTGTTTATGAATTTGCCCAGAAAAGCCAAGTGTCACATTTTTTTCTCTTCAGTTCTTTTGACAGTGACTGCAATCTCTAGCAACATTCTTAGCATTACTAAAATCAATTAAGGAATATTTTGAGAGCTTTGGATTTAAACAATGGAATATTATGATTTTATCATAATCTATTAAACACCTATGTTGTACAAAGTATCATGTCACTGTAAATGGTAAATAAGACAAAATATCTGCCCTGATAGATTATAGAGATGATCGAGAAGGTAACACACTTATGCAAATAACAAGAAACACAGCTGAGTATGACTCAGTCTTATAAAATATGAATAGTGCAGTTCTGATTGCTCACAGAGGAAGAAGTCACATCTCCCTGGATCACTCAGGGAAGACAACAGAGGAGGTGCCACTTGATCTGGATTTCGAACAATTGGCAGGACTTGGATTGGCATGGTGCCTTGGGGCTGAAAAAGGCCACTGTGTGGTATAAACAAAGGCAGAGTATCTAGAAACTGCAGAGAGAAAATGGTTTTTCTTGATATGAATGTAGGATAAATATAGGTGTGAAAACAGAAATTGCTGAAATGTGAGGCCATAGCCAGGTTAGCAAGGGCTTTAAATGAGGTTATAGGCCCTTGAATGGGCAATGACAATCTGGTTCAGTGACTGAGAAGAATCTTGGAAAAAATTATGGTATTGATGGGTAATAATAGTTTAGTGGAAGAAAATCCTGAAGAGTGCCAGTAAAGCTGGGTAGCTACTTTAATAATCTGTGCAGGAGTCAATGAGGGTTCAAACTAGTGGGAGTCTGTGTACACATGAGGGTCATTTTAGATGTTTAATTCATGCATGCACGATACTATCTAGAAGGAAGAATCAAGAATTGTTCCAGAAAAGTGAGTCTGTAGGAATGCAAGAACAGAGAAGTCAGGAACAGCACATTTGGGAAAGAATTTGGATATGACCTTGGACATCCTGAGCAGGGGTGCTAGGAGATAAGTAGAGATCTGGACCAGCAACATAAATGCTGGACTGGATATCTGGAATGAGCCTTGACAGCTGAGGTCACTGGGTGGGTAAAATTGCCAGAAAAAGCGGCAGTGTTGAAAGACTGTCCATAAATGTTGGCACTATCCACCACTCAGGAGTACTTTTCTAGAGAAACTGATGCTTTCTTATTTTAAATTATATACAATACACAGCACTATGATTTTGTTCACATTTGGAACTTTTAAAGGTATGGTTAAGCATTTTTGAAACATAAGAGAAGATAAAACCAAGCTCAAAAGCTCTGAGAGCTCACCCTTTGTCAGTTCTCTGAAGTGAAGTGGCTGCTTTGAGGATGTTCTCAAGATCCTGACTCCTTCAAACAATGAAAAATAAATACAGGTCAATGATAGTAGAGCTATTTTTGAAGGAGCTAACATTTCTCATTTGTTTTCAGTAAATAAATAAATAATAAATAGTGTAGGTGGTGCTCAGGAATTAGTTCAACAGAATGACAAAATGGTTCTATTGTGTCAGCTCATGGCACACAGGAACATGCACATCCCCACATCCCTCATTCTCACACACACACAGACATACACAGACACACACACACACACACTCCACTCTGTTATTCCACCTGGGTGTTGGCTGTGCCATCTAGTGCTCACTGAAAATAACTACATTTTCTCCTGAGGACTTGTATTGTCAGTTCCCAGGTTCTAAGTTACAAAAAGGACATCAAAAAACAAAATCCATTTAACTAACAAGTAAACACAGAAGTGAATCCAAAAGGTTTTCTACCAGAGCCAAGCAGCATTAAGCAACAGATACAATTAATTATTCCTTTTCATCCTAAAGAGGTGAAAATATTTGTCTTCTCAGACTCTAGAATAGGTGGAAGCATCTGAGACGTAGAGGGCTAAGATCAATGCCGGTATCCCCAATCATAAAAGGAATAATTAGGAAAATTCTTATAGTAATTAAGAACTGTGAGCTGGGCATGGTGGTTCACACCTGTAATCCCAGAACCTTGGGAAGCCTAGGAGGGAGAATCCCTTGAAGCCAGAGGTTCAAGATTAGCCTGGGCAACAAAGGGAGATCCCTATCTCTATAAACAAATTTTATTTTAAATTAGCTGGGTGTGGTGGCCTGTTCCCATAGTCCCAGCTACTCAGGAGGCTGAGGTGGGAGGATCTCCTGAGCCCAGGATTTTGAGGTTGGAGTGGACTATGATTTCTCTGCTGTACTCCAGCCTGGGTAATAGAGCAAGATCCTGTCCAAAAAAAAAAAAAAAAAAAAAAAAAAGAACTCAGCATCTCATAGAAGGTTAATACAGTTCCATGAAGAACGGATTTTGTAGCCAAGTATTTAGGAAATGTAACATACTTTTGCTGATTTGGAATACACATAAGCACACTAAGGTTCTGAAAAGAACTGTGGCAGAAAACTCTATTTAATTGTGTTTTCTAAATGTAGTGAAACACTGAACTCTTCTTTTCCACAACATTCATTGACATCTTGTGGCACATGGAACACAAGTTGGGGAATGGCAAGAGTCGTGCTATAAGTTCCTCAGGACAAGAGAAACACGACTTTCTCCAAAGAAAAGAACCCATGTCACGTGTCTTTTGCAATGAGACTCTTCTGATAGTCGAATGGGGATAATACAAAAAATGAAAAGTATGTAAGTTTTAAACTTGAAAATAATTTTTTCAGTCATAAAATCTTTTGACTTAAAAATTAGCTTATCCTATTGAAAGACCTATTTAAATCTATTTTCAAAAAATAGGATTTTTTCTTTTTTACAAAAAGTGAGAAAAACAAGATACATCCAGAACTAATGCCAGACAAAATAGGAATGTGCAAGACAACAAGCATAAATCAGGACTCTCATGGGGAAACACCACATTTGGGGATTACCATCTTACCCCCAAGATATTTGGAGAATGTCCCTTTACCAAATGGCATCAATGTGCTTCTTCCTGATGCTGCAGGAGAGGCTGGACATGCCTATGTTCAGTCAATACTAGACAAATTTTTTTAGCACAGGTTCAACTGCACAACTGTATTTCCCCCTCTTTATTTATACATCCACATCAACTATAGCATGGACCTCAGAATAGGGGCTGGGAATAGAGGGAGTGAGCTCTCCTGCCTTTAGTGGGTTTGATCTTATCTTGTTATCTTGTTCACACCATTTTAGTAGTTTTTGTTCGGTTTGTTTTGTTTAATTTTGTTTTTTAGACAGGCTGGAGAGCAGTACAGTGGCATGATCTCAGCTCACTACAACCTCTGTCTCCTGGTTTCAAGCAATTCCCCTGCCTCAGCCTCCCAAGTAGCTGGGACTACAGGAGCTCACCACCACACCAGGCTAATTTTTTGTATTTTAGTAGAGACAGGGTTTCAACATGACCAGGATGGTCTCGATCTGACCTCGTGATCCATCTGCTTTGGCCTCCCAAAGTGCTGGGATTACAGGCATGAGCCACCGCGCCTGGCCTGGTAGTTTTCTTAATGGAAAGCTTGGGATAGAAACAAAAGGAACAAAATTCTGTAAGTGCCTATAAAAACGTTTATCACTATGTTGGAATCAGTTGGAAAACTGATTTTGTCTAACTTACTATTAATCACCTTGTATTTTTATATGTGCTGAAAAAGCATACTTTATCATTACCACAGTTACATGGGTACAGGTAGAAATCAGTGTACCTGGTATGTCCTTCAGCAGATCTTTTGGTTTCTGTATATACACCTGGTTTAGGTGGATACATCTGCCTATATTTTGAAAGTTAAAGATAATTTCAGTCAGAAAAGAAAACACTTTTTTTAAATTTTTTTTTTTTTTTTTTTTTTTGAGACGGAGTTTCACTCTTGTCACCCAGGCGGGAGTGCAATGGCGCGATCTTAGCTCACCGCAACCTCCGCCTCCTGGGTTCAGGCAATTCTCCTGCCTCAGCCTCCCGAGTAGCTGGGATTACAGGCACGCGCCACCATGCCCAGCTAATTTTTTGCATTTTTAGTAGAGATGGGGTTTCACCATGTTGACCAGGATGGTCTCGATCTCTTGACCTTGTGATCCACCCACCTCAGCCTCCCGAAGTGCTGGGATTACAGGCTTATCAGTGTTTGTTGGAACCATACCACTACTTGAGATAACAAACTGAAACTCTTTCTTTAGGTTGGCAGAAACTCTAGCATACTAAATTAGTAATTAAGTCTATCTTTATTGCATATTTGCAAACCACTGGGTATTTCTAGAATTATAAGTTCTAAATATGTTCATGTTGATTTCTTTGTTCTCTATCAATAAAGCATTTTCATATTTATCTCTATTAGATAATGATAAAATATTTTAAAATATTAATTTTTGTTATGGGCATCAAAGATATATTTTTTTCTTGAAGAGTTATCCCATTTGAATACTATCCAGAAATATATTTGCTCATATAAGGTGGGAAAAAGTCTACATTTCAAATGCACCTACCACATTGGGAATGACCATGTTAAGCTGACAGAATTAAGTTTTATTATGTTAGGTTCTGTCACAGGTTAAGACTTTACTCTTTTTTAAGTATCTGGTTGACCCACTTATACATTCCTACTTGTTCTCAAGAAGCTATATTCAACTATTTTTTGTACTCCTGAGGACATGTGTTAATTACATAGGAAACACTTCCCTTTCATATTCTTTCATTAAAATCATCTTGCTGTGATTAAAGTAATCAGGATGTTTAAAAAAAACATGCAAGTTGTCCCAATTTTGTTTTTTAGATCATTGGTGGAATAAAGAAATTTGAGTAGTAAGTCCTGTGAAATTTTGCTTCCTTTAAATTTAAACAAGCTTGCAGCTCTAGTGATGCCGATTTTAGATTAGAATGTCGGGGGTACTAAGGCCAATCAATGTTAGCCCCTTAAAAAATTCTATTCAAATTGAAATTTAATTGCTCAATACTAGAAGAGTTAAAGGAAAAATAACGTAATATTTAAAAGCTTGAGAAGATATTTTAAAGAGATAATTATAACCATCGTACAAATAAAAAGTTATAAATCTGATCTATATTTTTAATTAGTTCAGTGAAGAAATATTCTTTTGACTCAATTTTAAAAAATGCTCTCATCCTAAGGACAACATTTCACTGAACCTGTGCAGTTTCACTGAACAGAAATTCAAACCTGGAGTTTCAACACCTATTGGTACATAGTCCTGCTTCCCTGTCAGAACTTTCTAACTGAAGTTTACCCTCTTGCTGAAGAATATTTCTATAATTGTGTCTATTGGAGAATAGTTCTATAGTTGTGTCTTATTAAAGACTAGTTCCATAATTGTGTCTTACATGGTGTCAAAAAAATCACCATCAAAGAGCAAAAATACAAAAGAAGCAATGGCAGGCAATCAAGCAGATCTAATGTAGTCAGTCTTCATTGAGTTACCATTTTTTAACCTCACAATAATAATGGAAATGTGGATGTACATCTTGAAAAATTGTTCAAGATAAATTAAACAGTTCGAATGTAACACATGGGAAGAGTTTCAGATCTCTGAATTTATTTCCAAGTATTAATTATAGAGTGACAGAGATTTAAAGCTGAGAAGAAAGTCTATTTTTCTGGATTCAGAGACAAGTTATGTGATAGTTTTGAAATAAATTACAAATCCCTTTTCTTAAAAAGATTAAAGAATTACCCAAAGGTATTTCTGACATAAGCAAGGATTTGAGTGGTAACACAAAGTTTTAAGAATATCCTTCATCAGAATAGGTACCTCATAGTGGGAAACTTAACTTGGAACAAACATGAACAAAAAATATAGTTTTAATATGGTTTATATTTATATTATATAAAATATATGCCAAATATGTATATATATTTCCATTTGTGTATTAGGAGCTGATAAATAAAAAGCCTGTACACAGTTTCTGAACATGAATATTGTTTCATTTTTATCTTGAAGGCATATTTCCTTCAGACAATTAGTATTCAAAGGCAAACATAAATACACCCATGAGTTGGGAAATAAAAATAGAAAAAGTTCTACAGGCGCTTCTTTAGGGAATATGCACACAAAACATCCATGCTTTGCACAGAGCAGGTCACAGTCCATTTATTTTCACTTCCCTTGAACTTTATTTTGGCAAGAAATTCTGGAGTACTAGGTCTTACCTATTATCCCCTCTTGGCTGGTTAGGAGAAGAAACAGGAGAACTGGGCTTTGGAGGTATTGGAGGGTGAAAACCTGGTTCCCTTTAAAACAGAAAACAGCAGTTCATTTCACCATGGAAACATGGTAAATGTGAGCATCTATGAACTGAATGCATTTATTACCTACATAGAAATATTCTTTGCAACTTACAATCCCCATGAGTGAGGTACCTGAAAGGTCAGAATCCATGGAGCACTAAGAAGTCAAATATTTAAAATATGTGTATTTTAAATGCTTTTATTTAATCAGATTCTTGAAAACCCTATCCTCTTTTACTATAGTTTGAACTACACTATGTTCTTTAAATAGCTCAATATTTTGCTAGTATGTCTAGCCCAAGTCATGGCATTTTGGGTCAGCAGTGCATGAGAACTATAAATGGTTCTTAGGTATTAACATATAAGCTTCTTTGGGGATTATGTCAACTATCAGGCTGCTAGGGAAACAGCAAGAAAAGGTTTTAATTTCAGGGACCTCAAGGTAGCATTGATTTGAAGCTCTTAAACTAAATCTGACTTAAATATTGTCAGCACAGGCCAGTTTGATGCTGACAAAGCATATATATAATCTACTGTCAGCCTAAACTTTCCAGTGAAGCACCAAAGGAGCCTCTGAGTTGGCAGGACCTAGGAACTGGAGATGGGCAATTATGTGCACATTTTGGATGGAGTCATCACCTTACTAAGGGAATGTCACTCCCCTATGCTCCCCACCACCACCACCCCAGCAGTTCTCTATGTGTCCTCAACAGAAACTCTGTACCTAGTGAAAGAACCCTGTGATCCTGTGTACCCTTCTGGCTTCTGCAGGAAGGTATGTAGGCATGTGGGCTGGAGTCAGGCTGCCTGAATTGCCAGCTGTGTGGTAATCAAGGTAAAACTTGATTCTGTTTCTTCATCTGTAATAATCCTTCTAACAGGATTGTTGGGTTATTGTCAGGACTAAATGAGATTGTGCTTTTATTCAACAAACATTTATTGGTAGTTTTCTATATGCAAGTCTTTCTGTGAGCTGGATAATGTCCTTCTTCTCAAAGGCTTCCAATATACAAATAAGTATATGCCAGAAGAAGAAAATGGTTGTACAAATAATAATATCAATAAAACAGAAAAAGGAGATATAGACTGATGTGGTTGGAACACTATTTTATTTAGAATGGCCTGGGAAGAACTCTCTGTCAGGTAAAATTTGAACCAAGACCCGCAGGAAGTAATAGAGTAAGCCATAAGGCTGTCTGGAGAAAGCAAACAGATACAGGCATCATTAGCTTAGAGATGGTATTTAATGCTTGAAACTGATAGAGATCACTAAGGGAGTCAGTGCATGTAGAGACAAAAAAAAGGGCCAGGGGTTGCACCCTCAGGCTCTGCAATATTTAGAGGTCAAGAATATGAGGTGAAAACAGCAAAAGAATCAGGAGGAGTGGCCAAGGAGAAAAGAAGAGTATTAGGAGGGCGTGGTATCTCAGAAGCCAAGTGAGAAAAGTTTCAAGGAAGGAGTAATTGGCCATTTCCAATGCTACCGTTAATCAAATAAAAACAAGGACTGGGAAATTACCATGGTTTAGGCAACAGAGTGGTCTTTGATAACCCTGATAAGAGCAGTTTTGGTGGGACAATGGTAGGGAAAAATAATAGGAGTGGATTTAGGAAAAAATGGGAAGCAAGGAAATAGAGGCTTTGAAGGAGTTTGGCAGTGAAGAAGGAAGAGGGAAATGGGTAGCTACTTGGAGGTTGATGGATTGAGGAAGGTTGCTACAGCATGTAGATGTGATGACAGGAATGACCCAGTGAATCACTGATGCAGGAGAGTGAGGGGGAAATCACTAGACAGATATGTCTTTGAGAATTGATGGGACCTAGGGCACGGTGGGTGGTCAATCTTAGATGAACTATAGAGGGCTCATTCACAGCAGCAAGAGGGAAAGAACTAGATGGGTATAGCTGGGGTGTGTTCATTGACTCAGAGCGGAGAAAGTTCTCTTTTGTTTACTTCTATTTTCTCAGTAAAATAATAATCAAGATAATTGAGTCAAAGCAAGGAGGTTGAACAGGGGTTAGGGCTGAGGGAGAGAAAATGTGTGAAATGGTTTTCTAGGAAAGCAGAAGAGTAAGTGGACCAGGAAATGTAATCAGAGGATGATGATGATGATGTGCCATTATATGAGATCATTGTGTGCCAGGAACTTTTCCGAGCACTTTACATATATTAACTAATGTAATCCTCACTGCAATCCCAGATAAGTATTATTATTCTTCCCACTTCACAGATTAAAACACTGAAGCGAATAACATAAAAGTAAATATCTCATGAGAGTATAGCCCATAAGGGGCAGAGCTGGGAATCTGAACCGGGAATCAGGCTGCATAAACCCTCCACATGCTCTGCTGCCTCTTGAAGATCCTTGGGCCACACCAATGGCTCAGTTCAGGTTAGTATTCATGGGCTTAAAGTCAGGTTACCTGGCATTGTTTTCTCCTGCCATATTTAGCTGTTTGGGAAGAAGGAACAGAATAGACTGAGAGTTGGATTTACCATTAGCCATGTTTACAATTCAGCCAAGCGAGTGCAACAAAGAGAATGACGGCAAAGGAGTGGAAGGGGTCTGCAAGGAAGGGGTCACCATGGGGGTTGTGGAGTCTGAGATGGGCATGGAGGGAAATGAGAATATGAGTGGTGGGGACTGTGAAAAACCTGGTAGAATTAATGGGCTGGTGATAGTGGTGGGGCTGAGGAATTCCTGGAATCAAAGGACTGAAGGGAGTGAGCTGGACAGATAGAAAGCAGGAGCCAAAGAAGGAAAGCTTTGAAATAGAAGTTTTGTGATATTGTAGAGTATATGGTTAAGATCTATCAATGGCTGCAGTAGTGGGAAGGACAAGATCTATCAATGGCTGCAGTAGTGGGAAGGACAAGATCTATCAATGGCTGCAGTAGTGGGAAGGACAAGATCATCGGGGAGAAGGTCATGAAAGTGAGAGGCTGGGGAGAGGAAGGATCCTCTGCATGGATTTTGAAATCACCATGCATTATGACAGGAGGAGGGTTTGTAAAAGACAGCGAGTCTGGTCCTGAAGTCTTCAAAGAATGAGCGTGAATGTCTCAGAGACCTTCAGATGACTCCAACAAAGAAGAGAAGCTCATGAGGGCATGGCTTCAAAGGAGATGGGGAGTTTCAGGGAGAAGAGAGTTAAAATTAACAGGAAGTGGTGATGAAAAGCAAATGAGACCCCTACCATCCTCCAGACCCTGTAATATGTCAGTTTAGGGGGAAAATAGCCCTTGCTGAGAGAGGGGCTGTGGAAGCAGGGTGCTCTGGAAGAGCCTAACAAAAAGGTAGGAGATCATTCAGAGGGGATGCTGAGGAGTGGAGGATTTTGGCAATGACAAATGACACACTCATCAAGGTGGAGTGGAAGAATTTGAGAGCTCAGTGTGATATTAGGTTGGGTCAGGTTCAGGGAGGTACAGAGCTCTATGGGGATGGTCCAAGTGATAAGAAATGACCTGACTAGGGTTTCAATGACAGTCTATGGACATAGGGATGGCGGACATGATGGAATGAGTCCTGAAGACCTCTCAGCAGAGTGGTGGTGAGGCCCTGGGTAATGGGCAGTGGAGCACCAAGCATGGTGGGTCTCTTGGCTCTTATGCTGATGGTGACATTGAAGCCAGAAGAGGGTGTGCACTGCCTGGTTTCCCCACAGGAAACAGTGTCTTTTGCTGTAGTGGTTGCTGTTTTCACCCCACACGACCCCAGGGCTGCAGATGTGACAAACTCTTGCCCTTCCTAACACACCCCACCATATTCTCTCCCTGCTGTGGAGCACCTCCTCCTTCTCTTCACCTGGAAATTCTCCCCTTGCCCTTCAGACTTTGGCTTAGGAGTAACCATCTTCAGTGATACCCAAAGTCGTGCTAGGTACATCCGTACACTCCCCCATAACAACCCTATTCACAGCACATATCACACTATTCTGGACTACACATGATATTCTGTTCCCACACTGGACTGAAAGTTCCTAAAAGGACAGCTGTATCCCAAGTACCAGGATTGTGTATGACATAAGAATGAAGGAGGAAGTTAATGGCTGAATTTCTCTTTGGCAGGGAGGAAATGGGTACCAAAGAGGGATTTGCAATTTGCAAAATCTGTGCAACCTTAGCTCCCTCATAGGAGAAATCCATTGTCAATCCCATCACAGAACACCTACTAGGTGCCAGGTACTTGGCTGAGTCATTGTGTTGTGTGATATTTCTGGAAGAGCAACTTACATCAAAATAGTCTCCCCATCCTGGCTCAGCGGCATATTCTACAGGATTTTGTTTGTATTGCCACTGTCTTCTTTTCTCAGAAAATATCCTTGTGTTGGGTGTATGTATCACATGATAGAGTCTTTAGTGTATCTCTGTGGATTCACTGATTGCATGTGTTCCTTCCAGAGGCAGAGGAAAGGGAGAAGGAGGTGGTCAGTCCTGGATAATAATGAAGCCGTGCAGAACCCTAGATGTCTGAGGACAGCCGAGAAAGAAGTAACATGACAAAAAGGAGGATTACAAAACGTACAAATGGGATGGTGCCAAGCTTTATTTATGTTAGAATCATGTTAATGACATACTGAATTGCTTCAGTTTTGGAATGTCTAGGGCCTCAAAGAGGTAGGTAAATATGGATTGGGTGGATCAGAGAGTAGAGATGAGTAGAAGTAGATCTGAGATGGTCTGGAGAATACACAGGAAAGAGAAAGATGAATGTGAGGTTACGAAGGCCAAGAAAAGCAGAGAAGCATGTTTATTTCTGAGTGTGATGCATTTACAGCCCTGCTGGGCTAGAAGCCAGGCAATGCCATGTTGACTTCCATTTACGTCAAAGGAGCTTTCATTTGCATCTGCAATGACAGCCACAGATGACAGAACTCAAGCCCTGGGGTGGGACAGGCAATGAGAAGAGTCATTCATGTCATGCCAGGAGCGTGATGTGATGCCAAGCAGGGGGATTCAAATGCAATAGTGAGGCAGGAAGCTGCGGCCAGAATGTTTTGAAGAGAAGGAAATGAGACATTCATGGGAACGATTCTCATTGAATTCTGCTTTGAGATGCAATGCTCAAGCTCCGGTAAGTTGACCCTGGCTCTCCCCTTCACCCTTCCCCAGACCCCTCAAGGCTCCTGCAGGATCTATGCCACCACACAAATGGCTATCATGATGAGCTTTCAGAAATAAAAAAGGCAGATTTCACAAGAAACATGTGAACACTTGCAGCTGTAGCTCAAAGGCCAACACTGAAAGAAATAACACTGTAAAGAAAGCTGTCTATATCACTTTATTTCCATGAACTGCGGCAAAGATCACATCTCTCCTCATGGCTTTTTTCTATAACATGCGTGGCTCTGTGACTTCTGTTTGAGTCTGGCTGTATGAATATGTCTATTACTGCAGCAGAAGTCTAGGTAGAACAAGGAATAATTGTCTCTAATATTTAACTGTGAATTTTGTTTTCACTGTCTATTGTGCTTAGCTTTTATATCTAACAAATAGAATTTTTATATCAACAATGGCAAAGAAGATGAAACTTTTATGTTTATTGAGTCTCAGTAACATGCCAGCTTTGCCAGGCTCTCACATACAGGATGTTATTCAATCTATACATTCTAACATGTGGAATGTGTATTATCAGTGTTGTTATTGTTACTATTACTATTATTATTTACTGAGGCTCAAAAAGTTGAAAAAATTTGCCTTGGGTCACACTGCTAGTAAGTGGGGCAGGCAGGGTTTCAAACTGGTCTTTCTGATGTTAAATGCCTTGCTTTTTTCTCTATATCATACTGTAGGCAACCAATACTCATCAAGGTATTTTCAAGGCAAACCTATTAAAAATTGGTTGATCTGAAATATTGCCTTGCCCAAGGAAGGATCTTTTTGCTCGAAAATTCCACAAGTGCCCCAGTTATAATATTAGGAGACAGAACAGTATGTGAGACGTAATTGGGCAGTCAAAGACTAGAAAATATGTAATCCATGCCTCCAAAGAACTTGAAGAATGCAAGGCACATGTTCGAAAGAATGGTTACTGCGATGGTGCCTCGCTTTCCGTGGCTAGTGGCCATTTCAGTAAACCATAACCGAGTAATGGACCATGCACTGGACTAGAATTCTAGGGATCTAGACTCTAGACTTTAAACTAGCTTTTCCACCAACCTTCTCTTTGACTCTGGAAAACATGCCGATTCACTCAGAAACTCTGCTTATTTGTCTGTAAAAGGAAGAGACTGGCCCAGATCTGTGGACGGTAAGCCACTACATGACCAAGGTGGGGCGGTGCAAGGAATCCTCAACTCCACAAGTACCTTGACATTCATGTACTGCACTTTTCAAATGTATGTAGATGGTTAACAAAATTTAAATTTAAGTTGGCTCTATAAGAACATGAAACTTACATTGGTCAGTAGATACAAAGACACAAAATTTAACTATTGCTTAAGTCATCGCAGCTTTTTGTCCTTAGATGTTTTCTCAAAGACATAAAAATATTCCAACTATTATCAAGTGACACTAAAAACATGCTAGCATCAAAAGGGAGTCTACTCGAAATGGATCACAGATCTATACGTCAAACACAAAACTACAAAGCTTTTAGAAGAAAACAGAAGAAACTTTAGTGATCATTAGTGAGGCAGAGTTCTTAAATATAATACCAAAAGCTCAATTTATTTAACAAAACTTGATAAATTGGATTTTATTAAATTAAAAAAAGCTTTTGCTCTGAAAAATATATTGTTAAGAGAACTGAAAAACAAGGCACACACTGGAAAAAGCATTCGCTATTCTCATATCTGACAAAGGGCTCCCAAGCACAATGTGCTTTCAAAAAACTCTCAAAACTCAACAATAAGTAAACAGACCAGCAGAAATAAAATTGGCAAAATATTTAAAATATTTGGGCCAGGCAGGGTGGTTCATGCCTGTAATCCCAACACTTTAGGAGCCCAAGGCAGACAGATTACCTGAGGTCAGGAGTTCCAGACCAGCCTGGCCAACATGGTGAAACCCTGTCTCTACTAAAAACACAAAAAATTAGCTGGGCGTGGTGGCGCACGCCTGTAGTCCCAGCTACTCAGGGGGCACAAGAATCCCTTGAATCCAGGAGGTAGAGGTTGCAGTGAGCCAAGTTTACACCACTGCACTCCAGCCTGGGTAACAGAATGAAATTCCACCTCAAAAAAAAAAAAAGGTTTAGCAGATACTTAGCCAAGGAAGACACACAGATGACAAACAAACACAAGCAAAAATATGAAAAGGCTGTATATCATGTGTGACTCCATTTATAGGATGTTCTGCATGTAGCTAAGAGAGGAAACAGAGGGATGAGAGGACAAAGATGGGTCGCCAAGTATGAAGAAAGTCCCAAGTAAAATGTTGGTCCTTTCACCCCGTCTCCCCCTTCCATTGTCCTCCCCCAAACCCTTTGCCACAGCATGTCCCACTTCACCATACTCAGGCCTCCCTGCCTCCCAGCCTCCTTCCTCCAAAGCCATCTTCCACTCCCCTCCACACAATGCAAGACTCCATTCCCTCAGCATTCTCTAATTCTGCCCAGCTTTAGCAGGAAAGAAACCTGATTTATGTAACTGACACTAAGATTTGAATGACCAGCAATAGCCCCTTTAATCTGTCATGCTTCTAACTGATGTGAAATGTACAATCTCCAGTTGACAGAACTTCCAGCAATACTACTAAATGATGAAATAATTTTTTAAAAAATCAAATAATTTGTTTTTTATGATTGGAGCAAGGTGAAGTTTTGACAGAGTGCTTGACCCTAGGTATCCTGATTCTCATAGCTTCTTTCTCTATCCTACTTGTGAACCTGGAGCTTCCCTGCTTTCATATTTCCATGGGCTCCAAGAGAGGGAGGGGAGGTGGGAATCTGGGTTGGGCAAAGCAGGGCTGCTTTGTATTTGCTGTTTGAATGTTTGAGTTCCTTAAAACTAGAGCTAGGAAATCAGGGACTGTCTAGGTGGTTCCCATTGGACTGAAGAAAAAATAATTCATTGCTAAAGGTGAAGACCTTCATTTACACATTCTGAATTAGGTTTCTCCTTGTTCTGTTCAAATAACACATTTTTAAAATAATAAACTTAAACTCAGGCTAATATTTTAATTATTCTGAATGTTTAGAAAGAGCAATCTAGGCATTCAGGTAAGATTTTTTAATCACTGCATTTTGATATTTTATTGTGTGTTATAGAATCTTAATTTCTAAAAAAGAGATTCCACTTAACATAAAGATTTTTTCATTGAGATAAAAATGAGATTTATCACTTTTATTTAGCATGACATCAAACTTTGTAGAGGATTTGGTACCAATAGAGTTAAAAATGTTGCAGCATAATTAGAAAGGTTACATTTTACCATTTATAGTTACAGACAAAAAAATATAACTGTAGTGCACGGTTGCCATGGCAACTCACTTCTCAATCAGGATATTTTTTTCCTCCTCCAAGTCTACCAATCAGCTAACAGAAAATGAAATAACCACTGAAGGAGAAGAGGTCAAAACAAATAAGGATGAGAAATTATGAATGTATATAAAAGATATTTATATGGTAATTCTCCTAGATGTGTTTCCACTATTTTAATTTTATCAAATATTATTTCTTTTCTTTTCTATCTTTAAAAATGATTCCAGAAAAAAGCACATTCATTTCTAATGGTGGCTTCATTATTGTTCCTAAATGAGAATAATGAACAACATTCATAAATATTCATAGTGTCTGTTAAGCAAGTACTTCAGTTTGGCTTCCATGAGATCCTTAAATGAGCTTTACATGCCATTTAACCACTGAATCACCAAGTCACCTAAATACACAGTCAGAATCAGTTGAATTTGCCATAAACAGAATACAAAAATTGAATGGTAGGTTCTGATATCAGAAAGAAATTCAGCTTTCCAGAACTGTTATTTATTTCTCTAGTTCCTTATGATGCACCCGAATATTTCCCCAGATGGCACCTATTATTCTCCCCATTGGCTCACATCTGGCAAATGTTTCCACTCTTTTAAAAGTCTCAATGATAAGAAAGTGTTTAAGAACTTCAAAAATGAAGACATACACAAGTGATTGCTGACACATTGCTTAGTATTAGGTTTTCGGGCAGATCACAAAACAAAAGAAGTGGGAAGACGGAAACATGGCTCTGAACTTATAGTAATTTTCTGCAGTGATGACACTTACATTTTCTTTTATACATACTCCAAATCTACAGCATATGGTCAGAGCTCAAATTACATAATGGCACAGCATTCACTCTTAGAAACATGATATTCTCAAAAGGTACTTAGGCTTACCGCAAATTATGAGTGGATATCTGCCCATAGTGTCTTACATTAAAAGACATTTTCCCACATGACATCAGATTTGCAATTACTAGATTTTATTTAGTGCTACCACTAAATATAATTGATAAAGGATAAATGAGGAGAATGTCTCATGGATGGGAAGCCTATGGTTCTACACTTAAAAATACACTCACATATACACGCCCACACACACTGTACTCTCTGGCACTGGAATTTTGCTCCTCCTCTCCTCTCTGCTTGGAACGCCTCCATCTACACCTCCCCTCTGCATCTGGCTTACTCTTGCTCATTCTTTAAGGCTTACCTCTGGCATTGCCTCCTTTGAGCCTACTCTACCCGAGACACAACATCTACTGCCTCCTTCTGTGTACTCTACATATTCTGTGGCTGCCTTGACCTTTGTGCCTATCATATTCCCAAGGACCCTCCCTTGGTGAGGGCCAGCCTTCTTGGCTCCAAATGACTCCCTGGTAGAAGCTGAGTTTTCTCTCTGTACTCCTTTTTATACTCCTGGCATCAAGCAAAGTGTTTTTTAGCACATAGCCAGAGCTCAATAATTGTTTTGGGAAGAGAAAAAGACAGAGAGAGGGAGAAACAGAGTGAGAAAGGGAGAGACAGAGGTGTTTGTTACTTAGCTCATAGAATACAGCAAAACTACAAAAAGACAAATAAAATAACAGGTTGAGGGAAATTCATTGTCTAGTAGATGCTAAGAAACATTTAAAATCAATCAATCAATATGCACTTATTGA